TAACGGAAGGGCAGTAACTGTCACCAATGCATTTTAGATATAAATCTAATTTAATTATCATCAGTTGCAAATTATCATCATTTTTAACAGCACTTAATCTAAAATAGATTGTTTCCTCTCAGATTTCGATGAGTCTGTAAATTGTGACTATCAAATTTGAATATCTGTGATTATTTTCATTTAGAGGGTTAAATCTTATGCATTCGATGAGAAACTGCTATTCATAGTTTGCCGATTGAAGAAAAATCTGAAATGAATGAGATTTTCTTTGATGAATTTTGTCACCAAAAATAGAGACAATTTTCAATAACTTAAGTGAAACCACATTCAACGGCAAGGTTGTAAACTATGCATAAAGCATTATTCAGTTTAATTAATTAATTTTTAACGATAACTATAGAAAATGTGTTAGTGATGATTATTAAAATAATTAATTACACGGAATCCGTTAGCAATACTAAGACAGAAAACTTAAAACAAGCCATTACTTTTATTTAAACATAAGAACTGAAGTTGTAAGGGCAAAAACAAAGAACAACAATTTTTATTGGGAGTGGTAATATTATTATTATTTCCTTCAGTGTAATAGCTTGATTTTTATGTCGACATTTATGTACAAGCATACCAAAATTCATTTAAATTGTTTAAAGCGCTTTAGACATATTTGGAAAAACTGAAAATATTTACCATCTTTGACCACCTATATCGGCTAAACCAAGCAATTTTGAATAAGGGTAAGTTTAGTTAAGTAGATTTATTTTAACCCCTAAAATCTAAGAGACTTGCCCACGGAATATTTGGTCATCCTGCCTACGTATTTACATGTAAATAAGTAAATAGTTGATTGCTGAAATTAACAAATGTAATTATTTGTTTAATTCGCATTTACGTGCCTCACAACGACGTAAATTATAAGAATCTCAAAAATTTCATGAAATGATGCAACATAATATTAACGCCTACTTCCTATTTGGAAGTCCTTCAGAAGTGAAAGGTCAAGTATATTATTTGTAAAAATAATAATAATTTCTCAATTTATTAGAAGGAATGATAAAGATATTTATATTTCCAAACGATAATCTTCTAAAATTTCCACTGTGGGTCATGGTTGTTTGCGTTTCTATAAATATCTTCACGCAAATCGTATTTTTTTGCACATTACGAAAGCACGCGTTTCCCTATTGCAAAAAATGTGAAAGAAGTTATTTGTCCAGCTTATTTTTCTTAGAATCAGATAAAATTAATAGTAATTTTTTTGTGTACCTCAACTTATTGCTGCTTACGTGTCTAAAGTATTTATGAAAATATTTTTTCACATCACATTACAAAAACATATTTTGACCAAAATATCGAATTGATTATGGAAGACAATTTTATCTAGATAATATAACAAATAAAAAAAAATCATAGATACAGATGAAATATAATTATCTAGATTAAGATAACAGATAAACTAAAATTTCAGATAACTGTCGGTAATGTTATTTCTATAATGTGTCTCTAAATTGGTGAAACGAGCATTATAAAAAGTAAACAAATTCCAGCAAATAAAATTTAGGTTTGGTTAATTAGAAACTAATATAATGAGAAATCAAATTTGGTATGGAAACTTAAAACATTCTCATTTTTCACTGTTTAATCTATAGAAACAATTTCTAAAAACATAAATTATGCACATTAAATTATCAGTGCAAATTTTCATTACTTATTTAATAATAATAATAATGATTTATTTTCCATTAAGACAGTATACATGTATAGGATTCGTCACACACTTAATCTAACATAAAAAAATTAAAAACTTCAATTTAAAAATTTAAAAACTCCGACACACTGTAAAAACATTTATCGAGCAAATATAGCTTTAACTTTCGTTTAAAAATATTTACAGACAAACAGTATTTAACGGCGTTTGGTAAACGATTAAAACATTTTGGACCCAAGCAACAAGGAGCATTCAGGGCTACTTTTAGTTTGGCAAACGGCACTCTAAGATCATCAGCATGTCTCGTGTTATAGTTGTAATTATCTTTGTTAATGTCAATGCTTTTCTTATTTCTATATACATAAACACATAATTCGTATATAAACAAACAGGGAAGGGGTAAAATGTTTAATTCCTTAAAATATTGTCTACATGACTCTCTGTCTGAGATTTTTAACATGCAACGGATGATTCTTTTTTGTGCAATAAAAACACTAACTGAATTGGTCGAATTGCCCCATAAACAAATTCCGTATCTGAGTCTTGAATCTACTTGGGCATAGTAAACGTGTACAAGCTGGGGAAGGTTCAGCACCGTTCGCAAATTTAAGAAAAGAAACTTCAGAGAATTCATTTTCGAAATAAGTTTATCACAATGTAATTTAAAGTTCAAAAATTCATCCAAATAAACACCCAGAAAACGTACACCGTCATGTGCATTAGTCACAATTTTATTATTTATTTTAATATGTAGATCTTCGATAGTTCTTTGATAGTTATGTATTCTTAAAATATCGGTCTTGTCCAAATTAAAAAACAAATCGATACTGTTAAAGTACTGTGAGACCCTGCCCACTGCCTCTGCGGTTCTACTATTCAATGCTTCTGAATCCCTTGACGATAAAACCATTGAAATGTCATCAGCATAGGCTGTATAGGCGATATGTTTTGTGACACTTGATAGATTGTTGACATATAAAATGAACAAAACAGGTCCTATTATTGAGCCTTGAGGTACACCTACATCCGAATTTAAACAACCGGATTGCATAAAATCTATAGACTGTTTAGATTCGACCCTTAAAGACACATACTGTTGACGACCCCGAAGAAATGTTGATACCCAGTTAAGTGCAGTTCCTCTTATGCCATACTTTTCTAAAATAGATAGTAATAAATTATGATTTACACAGTCAAAGGCTCTGCTCAAATCACAAAAAATAACTGCTGGACATTCGCCGGCTTCAACAAATTCAATGATTTGATTATAAAGAGATAACATTGCAGATGATGTCGATCTATTCTCACAAAATCCATGTTGGTTCGTAGATAAAATTTTAAATTTATTAACAAATGATAAAAGGCGTTCTAAAAATGCATTTTTAAATATTTTGGAGAACCCATACGGAACAGCAACAGGTCTATAATTTTCCATTAAGGTCGGATCATTTTTTTTAAATAGGGGAATAACTATTAATTTTAACAATTAAGTTCAAACGACTTGTTGACTAAATACGTCAGTGGCACTATAATAATATCAATAACCTGTTTTAAAATGAAGTCCTGAATCTCATCAGCCCCTGAAGACTTTTTATTTTTCAGTTTTCGGTTTAATAAAAGTGATAGTTCCTTTGGCGTATAAGGGGTCAGATCAGTGGCGACGCGTGAACATTGATTGAATGTGTTCTGCTTAAGGTTGTTACATTTGTTGAATTGAATTCCGGGATATTAAGTGCCCGGAGTTTCTAAATGGCGCNATGTTGGTTCGTAGATAAAATTTTAAATTTATTAACAAATGATAAAAGGCGTTCTAAAAATGCATTTTTAAATATTTTGGAGAACCCATACGGAACAGCAACAGGTCTATAATTTTCCATTAAGGTCGGATCATTTTTTTTAAATAGGGGAATAACTATTAATTTTTAAATTTTGCGGAAAAATACCAAGTTCAAAGGACTTGTTGACTAAATACGTCAGTGGCACTATAATAATATCAATAACTTGTTTTACAATGAAGTCGGGAATCTCATCAGCCCCTGAAGACTTTTTATTTTTCAGTTTTTGGTTTAATAAAAGTGATAGTTCCTTTGGCGTATAAGGGGTCAGATACATTTAATTGACAATAAAATATAATGGAATAACATGGGGAAAAGATATAAAACCAGTTCATTTTAATTACTTGTAGAAATAGTTTCAATTAATTATTTATATGGCGGATGGAAGTTTATCTGTTAAGTTAAAAATAAGTATTGACAAACAAGGAAATAAATGGCAAGCAATAATCTTGAACATACAAATTTTTCAAAGCTAAATCCTTGTTCAGGTTTATCTATTGATATCACCAATGCATTGAATTCGAAGAAGCATAAATTTTGTTGCAGTCTCTTCTACAATATTTGCAAAAGTGTACAGTATATTTTTATATCTACATTTATTGTGTTGACATATAAAAATTGATTGTCTTTTTGTCGTGCAGCACTAAGTTAAAGCTTCAGGTAAAGTTCATCTAACCAAATCATAAAGGAATATTGCATGTAAAATTGAAAACAATTTATTTGAAATTATAATTATGAAATAATTTTATATTTAGTAATTTCTTAGATTGAGAAGATCAGTTTCTTCAAATAAAATTGCTAATATCGAGCTATCAACAACTAAGTTATAACAAAATTTATTACTTATATGTTAGCTACTTCAGCATATGCTTTTGAAGTTTTTTTAAATTGTTTTTATTATATAATTTTATGATTTTTATTTTATTATACTTTGAAGTAAAGAAATAGTTTCACTTTTTTCTTCATCGTCAGAAACATTGACCATATTACCATTCTGAGGTTGAAGACAAAGAAGAAACTACTATTGTGTATTGAGCAAGTACAACTAGGTACCCAATATTACAAAATTTCCTTGTTGAAGCCTGAGAGAAGTAAAAGAGTCGTTATCAATGATGTCGACGTTTACTTCGTCTTGGATCACTGTGACAAAACAACATGTGCACAACTTTAAATTTCAAGTAATTCTTTTAAGAGACGCTACTGAACTCGGCTGCAAATACGTACACAGGTTCAGCAAATAGAAAAAAATTACGCTTGTCATATGCAAGCTCAGTACAGCTATGATAAAACTATGTAAACAAAAGGATATCAAAATAACTCGATTGAATAATACTTTAATAAAAGTACCCCGGTTAAATGACGATTTGTAGAGGGGGAGGGATAATGTCTCTTGCCTCGTGTCTCACGATAATGATATCAGTATCGCGATGGCTCAACCCTCATCTCAAAAACTATATATATAGATCGTAATCCATTAAGAAAATTAGTTGTTAGTCATTAGTTAAAAAAATTAAAAGTTATGAGAAACCATACAATATTTGTGTTGATTTTCTTTTTATTCTGGAGGTAAGAAAGCATTAGTAATGAAAACGTTGTATTTTTTTTGCACCACTTAAATTTTTATATAATCTGATTTTGTAAATCAAGAATCATTGGGTCAGAAAATTTTCTTTCACAAATCGGTGTAACTTAGTGTTGTGAATAAAATTTTTCATAATATTTAGAATTTTACATCTCTTTTAGTACAGTTAATTGTACTTCACAATTATCTTCAATATCTAAATATTGTTATTCCTGGATAGTAAATATCTCAGTAGGTAAACAGCTAATAGACAAGGCAACGAAATAATTATTAAGAGTTAAAAAGAAAATTAAACATATATATTTAATAAAGATCATATACCTACATAAAATTTTCAAAATTAATATTGTCATTTCTGCCCTTAGTAATTATTACTAGAAATAGGAATGCGCTTACTTAACTCTTGCGGATTTAATTTAATTCAATAATATCAAAATGATCAAAATACGTGTTTCTCATTCGTTGTTAGTTATATTATTACTGCACTTTTGAATTCATACTTACGTTTTAAAAATAGAAATGTTATCCCACTTTATCACAAAAATTATTCACAAATCTCAAAATCTCGATATTCCCTTTTCTCAATTGGAGCAAACTGTAGGTACTAATTTATCATTTTTCTACACGTGTTTCTTAAGATGAGTAATAATATAATAACAAAAATATAAACAGAAATGACTTTTTCATTTTTCTAAGTGATCTGTAGAACACAAATTTAAGTAAAGCGCATAAGAGCACTGGAAAATTAAAAAGTCGTTTTCAACTTGACAATACTTTAAATCAACATATTTTGTGTATTTGAAGTCAGATAAATGAAAAAAATCGAGTACACATGTTTGTTATTGCAACTTATGAGAAAAAAACACGATATTAACCCAAAGATTTATAAATAAGCTAGTAGTAAAGGTCGCTTTTATATCAATATTTTTCGTGGTCTGGTAGCACCTGATAATTAAAATATACGCATCATTTGGTGTTAGTTATTAATAAATATACTGTTTTCTATTAACCTAGTAACCTTCATTGCGTAACTGATAATGTAAATATTTATTTACTTCACATTTTTGTTCGTTGTTAAGTCATATTTATTTGATATTTCGATAATATTTTTTTACGTCATAGTACGAGCCCATATTACAAGTAAACAAGATGATAGGACGTAGAATCCTATCGTCACAGAGATTTGTCATATGTTCGTCATGGATAGTTCAGGAATTGCTTCTTACACTTAGAGAAAGATTTTAGCACAAATTGTTCTGCATAAAATAAAATATATTAATGTTTACAAGTTTTACCATAAGCATGAGGAATGAAAATTAATATTTCGTACAAGAACATTTGCTTTGAGGAAAGAGTATGGGAAAGAATATAGGTAAACTGGATTATCAGCAAAGAATAAAAAGTTGCAATTTGAAGTTACAGTTATAGTTACCTCTGTGGCACTTCAGAACAAACATTAATTTCATTCGAGGTGTAATCTCTGATGATGTTGTCACCTAAATAAAAAAATGAGATTTTGGTTATGAGTATTTATTATTATTGATATTATTAAACATTTTTGATAAATTTGTATAAATACGGTAAACACTGATACAAACGCTAATTTACAAATAAATCAAGAGACATTTCCAAAACGGATTTCTAAGGATTCCATTCAAAAATGGAAATTGAAATATGTAGAAAGCCTGTACCAAGAAGCTTGATGATTATAATGCATTAAAAACTTTAACTACTTTTCAATGCATTTGGTAGAGTTGATCATGAGTTGTTAATAAATGCTCTCAATGCCTTTTTGCTGATTTGTTACATGTAGTCACTATGTCAGTAATTCCTTATCAATCCGTTTCAATTTGTACAACATCATGGTTTTATGTGTGACATGATATGTTAGCTTTCAAATATTTTTTATAATATACAGGGTGTAACGGATGCTGATGGCCAAACTTCAGGGGGTTATTATACAAGTAGTTTTCAACAAAAAAGTATTATAAGATTTTTTTGGAATGTTGATAGTTGCTCTTTTATTTAACATTTTTTGATTTCAAAAAATTTTGTGCCTTTTTTCATAAAAACAAAAATATCTCTGTTATTCTTACAGCCACATCAAATTTAGACATACCATCGGAAAGAGCATTAAATTTACTACAAGACGAGCATATATGAGTGTTTAAAAAATCTTCTATACCAGGTGCTGTAAAAAGTTAAATGTAATAATTGTGAAATGAGCAAAATTAGTGGTATCTCCTTATTGGTGGTAACGCCAAAAATTTGTTAATGAGGACGTGTTTTTTCTTCAGCAAAAACTACTGTATTTAGTAAGCTCTTCAACGATATATCAACTTTTGAGTTTACTATTTTTTTTTGGCAACAATATCAAGGGCAAAGGTAATAAACACCGTAAAAATCGAAAATACACAAACTTTATAGTACTTTATTTTTATTTTAAGACTGCTTTTTTAAATTAAAGTAACAAAATTGTTGAAAAAATTATTTATAACTTAGTAACATATTTACAATGACTTAATAATTTTCGATGTAACCTCCCCCTTGACGGATACATAAAGCGCACCTTCTCCGCACGGAAGCAACTGTGCGACGCACTTCTCCATTTTGCTGTCGAAGTAGCTCCCAACAAGCAAAAATCCTTTGTTCGAGCTGTTCTCGAGTTTCAATTGGTACTTCATATACCAAAGATTTTAATCTACCCCACCAAAAGAAGTCTAACGGAGTTAGATCAGGACTTCGAGGAGGCCACCTAACTGTACCAAAGCGTCCTATCCATCTATCTTCATAATGCTCATTTAGCCATGCGCGAATCTCCCTGCTGTTATGTGCAGGGCAACCATCCATTTGAAGCCAGGAATTAATCCGAAAATTTAAAGGAACTTCTTCTAATATATTATGCAGTTCGTTCTGAAGAAGATCAAGAAATGCCTCTGCATTTAATGTATTTTCTAGTATAATTGGTCTAAGAACGTAATTTCCAATTATACCCATCCATACGTTAACTTTGAATCTGTATTGATTATTGGAGGGCCTGACAGCATGAGGATTCACAGGTGCCCACGTATGGTCATTATGATAATTAAATATGCCATCTCTGGTAAATGTTGACTCGTCAGTCCAAATTATATGCTTGTAAAATTGGGGATCTCTATTAGTTTGTTNATTTTGTGTATAGCCACAACCGGGGACACAACGCAACAGAAACAAGTTAAGAATGAAACATAGTGACCTAGGTGCCCATAAGTGTGGTCCGCCTCGCCCAATCCACCTATCTATCACCAAATGTTGCGTTGAGGTAATTTCTAACTTCGCGACTGAAGTCATGAAGTATACCTTTTTTATAGAAAAGTAACAGGGCTATCAGCCTGCAAGGGCGAAATGTCAAATTTGGCAGCTCTGTCAAAGTTGCCTAAATTTTAGAACATAATTTCGACCGTCCTTGTATAATAAAAAATATTTAATTCAATTTTAAATGTACAAAGATACATTTGAATGAGTTGCTTTGATCCCCCAAATTTCAATTTAATCAAAGTAACCCTTTAAAAATTATGGGCATTATTCATTTTTCAACTTTTTACTTTGAGTGACAATAACTCCTCAACAATGGTACCTAGGAAAAAAGTTTATATGAAGTACTAGCACTCTTTTGACCTGCTCTATATAACCGTTTAATTTTTCCCCGTAGTTACCGGACACCCTGTATATCTCAGGTTATCGATGAAGGAAGTCAGATAGATGTTATATACGAGTACACTGACTTATCTAAGGCATTTGGTAGATTTGATCATAGGTTGTGAACAAATGTTCTCAATGACTTTTGTGATTGGTACATCTACAGATTTCAGTAATACGTTATGAATTTGTACAGAATTGTAGTTTCATGTCTGATATGTTGTGTTAGGCTTTAGATACTTTTGACTCGAACGTTAGACATTTATCAATATCAACAGTAGGATAAAGTAAAATAAGTTCAAAGTAACACAATTTTTAATTCATCGTTAGTGTTTCGGTGTTGCATATTCAGGGCTCTAAAATACATACAAATATGTTTTAAAATTTGTTTAAAATAAATAACTAAAATTATTAATCAATATAAAGTTTGAATAGTTTTAGATATAATTTATTTACTTATTTTCAAATTTGGGGATACATGCAGGCTAAAAGTCCAAAACTGCATCCTCTAATGCACGAAAAAAAAAGAAACTAAACATTAACAGTGAGAATTAACATTAACTTAATTACATAAACAGTGGAAGAACTTAAAGAACTTAAAGATCGACAACAAATTATTCTTAGATGAAAACCAATTTATATTTTTAATACTTATTTTAAAATTACTAAAGACTATTTAAACCCATATTGGTATGCTGGGTCGCTACACATGTTCACACCTCTGTACTTCTATCGTGAACATTATAGATACCATTAACCCTAAAATTAAGATATACTTAGAAAAAACCTATTCTGAATTCTTTCCAACCTTATTTTATAGACATTTATTTAGCTGGTTGGATATTTTATTGACAATAAATAAACTCGTTAGCCTTTCTCAAAAGCATATAAAGCCATAGCAATAAAAATTAATTGAAATCAGAATGGATTGCTTACTGCAAATTTGTCAGCCTAAACTTCAGGTTATTGAGAAATGAATGATCCAATAATTGATATCAAGTCCTTCGTTATATTCTGTGTATGTACAAATTGATGTAATGCAACCATTTTTCTAAAATTCAGAAAATACAGGGTGTCCCGCATAAAAACCCACACAGGGCAGGTGCATGTAGGGGTGTCCAAAATATTGTAATTTAACCGAACTTACCTATATATAAAGTTGTATCCCTGAGGAGTTATTAGCCCCCAAAGTGAGGCCCTAAATTTTGAAAAAATTAATATCACTGCAACACTTTACCGTAGAAGAGCCAAATTTGGTACATAATTTAGGTTTATTACTGGTCTTCTTTGACTGTGATTTAAAGTTAATTGAAGCACTACAAGGTGGTCATTGGGGATGACTCACTCCTAAAATTGTACCGAATTTTTTTTCATTGACCGAATTGAAAAATAATAATATTAATTCACAGCAGAATTTAATTTTATTTTTTTTACTCTTGTTAAATTTAAAAAAACTTTAGTCAGTAGTAGAGTAGGTAGACTTTATCTTTCAAATTTGACAAATGGCCAAATAAATTTTACTTCACTTCTCTCCTAATTCTACAAAAAAACGATAGTGTGTTTTTTCAAAAATGTACACCTCCATTCATTATTACATTTCATACTGTATTATATTTTTTTAGGAATACAGATGCCTTAAGCAACCACACATTTCCATCATTCTTCAAGTTCGGGGTAGCCACCGCTGCATACCAGGTGGAAGGTGCTTGGAACGAAGACGGGAAAGGAGAGAACATATGGGACCGTCTGGTTCACAACACTTCCATAGTAATAAACCATGATACTGGTGACGTCGCATGCGATTCATACCACAAGTACAAAGAAGATGTGCAGCTGTTAACACAACTAGGCGTTAATTTCTACCGCTTTTCTATATCTTGGTCTAGAATCTTACCCACAGGATACCCGGACCAAATTAATAAAGCTGGAGTTGAGTATTATAAAAATTTAATAAATGAGTTGAAAGCGAACAACATAGAGCCCTTTGTTACCATTTACCACTGGGACTTGCCGCAACCTCTACAAGAAATCGGAGGCTGGCTGAACGAAACACTGGTGGACATTTTTGCTGAGTATGCAAAGACTTTGTTTACTTTGTTTGGTGATGACGTCAAGTATTGGATGACTTTCAACGAACCCAGGCAGATTTGTTACGAGGGGTATGGGCTTGGGTGGAAGGCGCCTGCCATGAAATTGCTTGGAATTGGACCTTATAGATGTGCTCATGTACTTATTAAATCTCATGCCAAGGCCTACCATATTTATCAAGATAACTTTAAAGAGAAGCAAGGAGGTAATTTTAAGTTATATTCCAATTTTGTTAGTGTGTTAACGTTGCTCATATACTTATCTTCATGTTTTTATTCTTTTGCAAACATTAAATTTTTATTATTGAATATAGTTGGTGATCATTTTAAGTAATACTTTAGCTAATTGGAAGTTTTTACTTTTTCCTAATTTTCCCAGTTGAATAACTTTGTAATTGTTAAAAAGAAAACGTGGTTGCTTAGAATGTGTAAAGAACAAGGACATCACTTGTATCACCATTCTATTTAAAATATTTAGCGTTCGGTGCTTGTCAAACTAGTTCTATAAATTGAAGAACTGCGTTTATATTGCATAGTACTTTTTTACGTAAACTTTTGACTATAGTTTAATTATACTTTAATTGTAACGACATTAATTTTCAACTAGTACTACATAGTTATATTAAATAACTGAAACGACTTTCTTAGTGTAGTATACGCCATACAGTAGTAAAACACAGACACATATCTTTTTTAATCCATTTATTTTACGTTAACCTAGTTCTGCTATTATGGCTAGGCACTTACGCCAGGAGAATAGGAACTCCCAACCTGGAAAATTTGCCGAACCCTCTATTTGTCATAGGGAGGGATCTTTTACTTGCCTAACGTTGCTTAAACAACCTTCCTAAGGAGGATGAGCATCGCTAGCCTTCCCTGGATAGTCATTCACCCATCCAAGTGTTAACAGCAATCAATGTTTCTTGAAATTTTATATCAATGACATGAAGTCGCTAGGCTGCACTCATTAGAAAGGATATTTGCTAAATTTGATCATTCTTAAATAAGTATTAGACACGTTTTTTGTTTTCATATTTTTAGAATTAGACTCAGTAATACATATTGGGCGATTCGCTAGCTTTGTTGCAAGTTTTTCTTATACTTTTGGACACAAATCATAAAAAAATGCATAAACATAGGCCAGATTTTCTTTTGTTAATGAATTCAAAGTTTTATACGCTGAAATTGTAATAACCATAAATTATTATTAATAAACAATTAACATTAAGAAACACAAATTAAATAATTACAATAAATATTGAAACGTTAACCGTTCATCACGGGAATTTTATTCGCAAAGATGATTCAAACTTTTTTGATAAAAGATGCAAGGTGTTTTTTATTAATAAACAATTAACATTAAGAAACACAAATTAAATAATTACAATAAATATTGAAAGGTTAACCGTTCATCACGGGAACTTTATTCGCAAAGATGATTCAAAATTTTTTACTAAAAGATTCATGGTGTTTTTTTATTAATAAACAATTAACATTAAGAAACACAAATTAAACAATTACAATAAATATTGAAAGGTTAACCGTTCATCACGGGAACTTTATTCGCAAAGATGATTCAAACTTTTTTGCTAAAAGATTCATGGTGTTTTTCATACAGATTGTGCTATCGTGTACCCTTTACACTACCTAATTTGTTTCTGTCAGTTATCTCATTGTGATAAGAGTTGCTTCAAGTAATTCCATTCAATTCAATAATAATTTTAGGTAAAGTAGGTATAGTTGTGGACACCGATTGGTACGAACCAGCCACTAATAATCCTCTGGATAGAGAAGCTGCAGAGAGGACCCTACAGTTTAGAGTGAGTTGTAATCATGTTCCTACTACTAAAAATTCATATCTCTCAAAGCCCGTCGATTAATTTGTATTTTACTTTAGCAAAATAACTATAGAGAACTGAATGTCGCAAATAGTCACTTCATATGGTATTTTTTCAAAACTAACATATGAATCGGTAAAAATAAAATATATTATTTTATTTCAGTGGGGATGGTATGCTCATCCACTTGTTCACGGTAACTACCCCAAAATAATGATTCAACGAGTTGCTATGCGCAGTAAATTGGAAGGCTTCGAAGGTTCCAGATTACCTGCTTTTACTCCCGAAGAAGTAAATTATATTAAAGGTGAACTATTCCAATTTTTTACAAGTCTATCGTTGAATTTCTAGATTTTCTAGGACAAAAAGAAGTATCTAAAATGGAAAACTTATATTTCCTGGTACTTTTTTTTTGTCGAATTTTCATATCACTGTGTTAAATTTTAGGATCTTACGATTTTCTGGGCCTGAACCAGTATGCGTCATCTTTGGTGAAATTTAAACCGGAATCTGAAATTGGTATTCCCAGTTACGAAAATGATATGGGTACCTTGACATTCCGAGATCCTTCTTGGGAAAGGGGTGCATCAGATTGGCTTTATGTAAGTGATTTCAGTATTTTCCCTATATTTGATGATCTGTATCTAAGGTTTTAATACATTTAAAAATTACTAACTTATATGTTGGTCCATTTTTTGTATTATTAACTCTCTACTTCACCATGTCCATTTTATCTTCAGGTGGTACCTTGGGGAATAGGAAAAGTTTTGAAATGGATTAAAAAGAATTACAACAGCCCTGAAATAATTATTACCGAAAATGGATACTCGGACTACGATGGTGCTTTACAAGATGACAAACGTATTAATTACATACAGGTACAATTATTAAAAATTAAATCCTTAACACCTAATACAAAAATAATCAGTTAAAAAGTCTAAATAAATAAAATAGAACGAACCATAAATTCAAACCCTTTAAGATAGTCGCCTTTTTATCTCAAACTTTTTGGTTTACTGATTTTGTTTATTAATGTTATGCAAAAATACGAAACATAAACTCTATCCAATTATCTAATAAAATACTTATTTATTTGTAGGGATACCTCAGCAGTATTTTGGAGGCCATATATGAGGATGGTGTTAAAGTGACAGGGTATACGGCTTGGAGCTTAATGGACAATTTTGAATGGTACAGCGGATACCGGTAAGTGGCTTAGATTTAACGTGTTGCAGTTTGAAGAAATAAAAGCTATTCTAAGCAAAACATTTTACTTATTTCCCATGCGTTAATTAGCATGTTTTCGTTATTTCTTCCTATACATAAGAACCGACATACAGCAGGGACATGTAGGGAAACCCGAAATATGGCGATTTAACGCAACTTACCTTTATACTAAGCTGCACCCCTGAGAAGTTATAGGCCTTAAAAGCAGTGACGGCTCGTGACATTGAGAATAGGTGATCATTTTGAACAATTTCTATAACTTATCAGTGCAAATTGTATGTTATTTCTGTTGTTTAATATTCTTTACAAAATGCTGAGTGCATTAGAATTAAACAAGAAGAATCGGGAACAATGACTGAATCAGTCCACCAGTTTACAGAGGGAGTGAGCGAGATGGACATAGTGTAAGGGTCAGTTCAATATGCATTCAATTTGCAACTGGACACTTTGCGTTGCTTTTAAATCTATTGTGTAAAACTGACATAATTGATTCCAATTAATAAATTTTGTTCTATGAAACGAGTTAAATTACTATTTGTATCGAAGGTATTTTTGTAAAAATCTACTAAAGAAATATGTGTCCAAATAAAGTAATGCCATATTTCCATACATCTTCCAAAATTTTGATTATAGTTACAGGGTGATTATTTAAATTTTGAATATTACTCTTCCTCTCTCCAAAATTCTTATAGTTGACAATATTCTGGGTTTCCCTACACGCCCCTGCTCTGTGCCGGTTCTTATGCGAAACACCCTTTATAAATACCTAAGTACTGCAGTAATGATATATTTATGGACATAATTTTAAAGATTCTACACCCGCGGTTATCAATAACGGCTACCTCGCGAGGAGATTTGTGTAGCTTTTAGAGTTATTGTAGCTCAGGATTAATTATTGGATATACAACTACATACATATTTATTTTTTTAGGGAGAAATTTGGGTTGTTCCAGGTAGACTTCCAAAGTAAAAATAGAACTAGGACAGCAAAGAAGTCTGCAAATTTTTACAGGAATGTTATACATTCCAGAAAACTGAATAATGTAGGAAAATCATAGACATAGATAACAATACATAGACAACAATAATAACAAATAGGAAAAATGTATTTATTTTATCTAAAATATCTTTTATAATTTATTGATAAAAGTGGTAATAATTATTTGTGGAATATTGTACCTTATAATATTTTTATTAAACGTATTTATATAGTATATAGTGTTTTAATCTAAATCATATTATGTTATAAAATGTATTTACTCCTTTACATTTTTTTTATCAAAATGCAAAACTAAAATCTTTGGAAATTGGAAATTAAAAATTATCGTTGAAAAATGTCTTCCAAATTGACCACCGCACTGTTATCTTCAATACTGAGTACGAGTTGCTGCATAATTTTATAGGATATAAATGAATTTAAGTTCGTTTGGGTCTTTTTTGAAAATAATTAAATGAATATTATTTTATATCACTATGTATTCATTATACCATACAGTGTGGTCCATTAAGAACCAGAATACTCCTTTAAAATTATTTGGGATCCGCAATTTGACTGAATTTTTTTCGATATACATTCATGGGATTCTAAATGTTCTTGTTGAACCTTACACAATGATTTTTGAAAAATTTAAAGATCAAGCATCACTTTAAACCATTTTAAACTTCGTTCATTTATAATACTAAATATTTTTTTATGTAGACCTTAAATTTTAAATTTATGAAATTTCCGTTTCAATTTAAAAATCCAGGAAGCTTAGGAAGACTTGGAGATGAAAGAGAAAGAAATCGCAGTTTTAAATTGATCAGCAGATTCTGTTATTTGCCAGTTCAGCAAATTGTTCGTTTTTAGAAAACTCCAGTCTTTTAAATTTTTAAATTCAAAAAATTAAAAGTGCATAAACAATTGTTCTGAATAATACCTAAGTAAATTATAAATTTATGAAATTTGAGATATTGGGGTTTTAAATGAATTTAAGCTAGGTAGCCATGTTTATAAGAAAACATATCTGAAGCCGTTTTGCGCAATAACCGCTTCTAAACAAATTCGCAGTAAGCTATGGACTACCAACTGGTTCATCGTAATTAGTTCAACAACTACATCTAAAAAGCTGCTATAAAGAAACTCATTCGAATTGTGCATCCTTAAAAGAATTTAGAAGTGTGCGCTGGTTCTTTATGAGTTACACTATATCTATAATTAATTACAAATGTTCACAAAGGTATTATTTTACGCAACTTATACTGAAAATAATAAATATTAGATATATAATATAATATGCAATATTTGTTCAAGTTAAGGTGGTGTGTTTTTGTTCCTTGCTCAATTATAAAGTAAGTTATAAGAACTGGAATACCACTAAAGTTCCCAGGAGGTATATCCAACACGCTGATATTTTGTTAGCCCAACTGGTAGGTATTTTTAAAGTTCTTGCCAAAGTACCATAGAAATCAGCCGATTTCTTGGGTGTTCTGGGCCTTTCAGGGTCGGTGAAATTTACTTGGTAAAGGCCAAAATGGTATCTGAAATATAACAACAGATAATAACATAATCAGCAAAACAAAAATGTTTAATTTTTAAGATTTATTCAGTACTACTCAAAGTAGTTCATCTAACAAGGTCTTATTTAGATAATTTTTGGATTGAGTATGATTTGTAAGGACAATGAATATTTTTTCAGCATAATTACATGTTCTTCCACAACAGAAATAATAATTTATAAACATTTAATTCTTTCACAGGACTTTTAGATATATTTCCTTATTTATGGTTTATATAGATTATGCTTACCCATATCCTCCCGTCCATTCAAAATTGTCCATTAAACTCCATGCAGTAAATCCAGTTACCTTCACCTCATCTTCATATATCGCATCTAACACCGAACTTAGATAACCCTGAAAATAAAACAATTTTCAACGGTATAACAAGCAATTATTTTTTATTACTTGTAACGATTGTAGTTTTTTAACCGTGATCTTAAGTCAATCTAAAAACTCTGATCGTTATATTTAATGGGTTTTTCTTTGGTTGTGGAGAATATCTATAATCATGGTATACCTATAATCTCTGAAGGCTGTTGCGAATGTAGAAGATACAAAGATATTGAAGATAAAAAAAGAGAGCGATACAAAAAGAAAAAGAGACTCAAGTATATCATGATTGCAGATACAGTGTCTGTGGGTTAGGAATATAGTATACTAAAGAACTATTAAATATGATAATGTAGAATTTGATCTGATTTTTGTATTTTATGGGTGGTTTTCTGGAGCTCATATGAAGTTGATTAAATCTGTTCAGTATTCGTCAAAAATAGCAATTTTAATATAATTAATTTTAGCCTTAGTTTAGTTTGCATTCAAAATAACCCGCTGTTTTGTTCGGTTTTTTATTATTTTGTGTTTAAAATTGCGCGATACTGACTTGCGACTAACACAGCTACATAGAGATGGAGTAAAGTTCGAGTCGTCCATTGTTAACGCTTAAACGCTAGTTTCACGAGTGCTGCTATTTAATACAATATCCTTTTGCCTTAATTAAAACTTAAGTGTGCCGCAATTTTGTTTTGCCCTGGTTCCATTGCCGGACTGGAGACTGAGGGCCCTCTGCTACAGTGAAGACCCAGGAAAATCTGAGGTAAGTCGCAAGCCCCGTACAAAATTTACCTTAAAAATACGTTACGTGCCCAGTTCCATTCAGCTGGAGTTATCAAAAGTAATTATAAAACACATTCAAAATCTATGAATATTCAATATATGCAATGAACCATTCCTATATGATACATTAACTATGCCCTAGGAGAAATCTATCTAATGCATAGTTTTTACTGCTTTTTTTAAGTTTAGTGGTGGCTATATCTTTTAAAAAAGGGTGATGGAGCATTTCCCTTGGCAGATTCGATGTTTGAGGGTGCAAATGGAACAGATAACTTTTTGTGCCCGTATTAATACAGGTTTTGAGAATATTGAACATGATCTTGTGAATTTTCAAAGTTTATTATAGGGCGTAATTTGTTAAAAATTAACAAGCTTTTGTGGAAAAACCTTTCCAAATTACATGCAAAGGAAAATTTCTTTATCTGCAAAGCCATCGACAATTTGCTTTACAAAGTATATTTTAATGTCTTATTTGGCTTCATTTTGGGGCTCTAGCAACTGTTTTTTACTAGCATTAAATATGGTTAACTATTGGTCAGTAACACATCTTCAAATTACTGTGTCCCATTTATGTCAAAAGAAATTAATTTGAGCACTAGCTTACCTTATAAAAATCAATTCTTATATCATCTTCTAATGTCGACCCATCATCTATTACACCATTTTCGGTAATAAATATTTCGGGATTACCATATGTATCTTTTATCCATTTCAGAGTTTTCCTAATTCCCCATGGAACAATCTGCAAATATAGGTACATTTATTTTGTAATGCGGTATAGGACTCAAAAATGTGTGTAGTGTTTTCTGGCTACCTAAATTAAACTTATGAACAAGGTGGGCTGGGCATAATTGACAGCTTTGATGGCCACCTAGATCGCCAGATATGAATATACTGGACTTCTTTATTTGTTCCTAATAATTTTAGTGTATGCTGAACCAGCTAAGAACTCGCAGGTTTTACAAAAACGAATGAAAGTAGGCTGCAAGTTAAAAATGGAATATTTTAGAGGATCCGTAATTCATTTTTAAAAAGATTGCATTGGCATGCAAGAAATATACATATTATTAATTTAATTTACTATCCGTTTCTTTTTCGTTTTCAATATCCTATACGAAACAAATTCATAGGAACTTTATTATTTCATCTCAAAGAGTACAACATTCAAAAGTGACAATAATGAGAATTTTTGGATATCTTCAAAAAGAGTTTAAATTTTTTTTTAATTAAATTAGTTTAGTGTGGGTAAAACTCAAGTTAATATTATAAATAAATTAGGGTAAAATTCACATTTATACTAAATTTCTCCAGAAAAACATATTGAAAATGATCTTAAAAATTTTGGTAGCATTTCATTAACCAAAGCAAAAATAATTATTTTCTATCTAAAATGACAGTCTTAGTCCTGTCGAATTAGAGTTTGAACGTAAAAAATTATTATTAGAAATGTTATTGCAGTTTAAGAAGGTGAAGGCTAAGGGACGCTAAGTTGGCAAATTGTAAATAAGTAGGAAATTTACGTGTTTTTCACTTTTTTACTGCCCATGAAATTCTAGACGACCTATCTGAAAATTAGTTATTTACACCATAAAGAAGGTAAGTATTATTTACCAGTCGAGGACGATTTTGCGTCCGAGTGGAGCGAGGGCTGGCAATAGAGCCCGAGGCTGGTAAATTATACTTAACTGCTGCGTGGTGTATAACATTTTATCTGCTCCTACCGTTCTTTATGGTTCATGAAATAAAGATTAGGTTTTATTTTTTGACATTTCTTAATCAATTCATTTTGACATTATTCGAAATCTTGCAGTCGCCTTGGTTGTTTGGATTTTGTCGTTTCTAAGGTGTTTATAAACAAAGCTACATAAAAGTTTTTTGCTGGTTTTGAATTATTTTCAAATAGTGCAGTAAATGCTGCCCGCGAATTTTTATTGCCCGAGAAGTTGACGAGCATATAGAAATTCCAAAGAATGATGTCAGAACAAAGATACTGGTGTGTTTCTGAAATGTCACTGCTAGCATATTTCATGGAGAAGTCAAGAACTTTAAAGTTACCGGCGAGTTTGTGGAGTGAATACTTAATGATTAAGTCAACTATTTTCATAGAGGAGAAGGTGGATATATCAAGCTGAGAGCATTTTTGAAACTTAAGAATGACGGTTATACACCTAAAAAGTCAAACGTTTTTACAAGAGAACAAGTCAACGATTTTCTCGTTCAGGCAACCGATACACATATTTGCTAATGAAGGTAGTGATGGTCTTAGGCATTGCATGAGCATGCCGTTCTGATGAGGTATGCAAACTTAGTTTGGACAACGTCAATTTAAAAAATATCGACGATTACATTATTGTAGTTACAATTCCAGATTCTAAAAATGGTATGTCACGTACGTTTACAATTACTTACTTCTCGCCTGAGTTCTGTTTCTCACCTAGAAATTCTCAAGAAATATATCAAGATTGGATTGGAAATTAAAACTGAAATTTCACGCTTTTTTATGCGTTATCAAGCAGGTTTAAAGTACTTAAAGTCCTATTTCACCAATTTGTTAAATGTAAAATAAAGGTCGAACGCGGAAAATTGCGCATTATTTTTGCAAAAACCCATGGATGTTGATGAAATTTATGGAAAAGACGATTAGTCCAATGACCACCATGTGCGCTAAAGACTGATTCGATCGACCGTGAAATAGTTGGTTCAGGTATTTGTTAATTAATTTCATTTTCTTGCAACTAATTGTTTAATTACTAAACGTTAATTTTAATACCGTAGATATAGGTTTTAATAGATTCACTTATTTGCAATTTGCCAAATTAGCGTCACTTCTTTCGCAAATGGGTCCTGATAATATTTCTTAATGTGTAATTTGCTATTGTGCTTCCATATTAGCAGAACCATTGGCAATAATTTTTAACATAATTCTATCTACAAATATTAAGAAAGTAAGTAAATGAAATTAGTCAGTACCGCTCTATTACCATCATTTGCAATTTTATAAAAGTTTTTGAATTTGCCAAACGTGACATTCTAAATAATTAATTAAAAAAATAGAATTAGTTCCAATCAGCATGGTTTTATAAAGGGCCGTTCAATATCTATCAATTTGGTATGTTCAACATAATGTATATCGGAGGTCATAGACAATCATGGTCAAGTGGATGTAATCTTTACTGATTTTTTCAAGGTCTATCGATAAACTTCCTCATAGTAATTTATTTCGTAAATTAAGTAACTGTGGGGCAGCAATCAGCTAAAACTTTTTAATTCATATTTCTGTCCGATTACAATATGTATCCTACAAGGGATTTGAGGTTTTATCTGTTTTACCTCAAGGTTCAGTATTGAACTTTACTCTCATTTATTCAACTTACCTGTTATACGGTGTAAAAATGTACTATATCTGGAAGATAAATTCCTCCTTAATATAAATAAATATTCAGTTATGTCTTACTCTCGGAAAAAATAAATTTTGAGGTTTCGGTATAATATCACTAAACTGATTCTAAAAAGACCTGAATATATGAAATAGAAGTTAGGATATTGTTCAGTTATATGGTCTCCAAATTGTATAAAATATATCGATGCAATAGAAAGAGTGGAAAATAGGTTATTGCAGTACCTAGCAGAAGAAGATCATGTAAGTATATTTTTCAATGGGTCATTCTCAAAATATACTTGTATTGCGATTTAAATTTAATTCACTAGCTTTGCCGTAATTTGCAGTCATTTATATTTTTGTTTAACATTTGATATGCCTCAAATTTGACATCGAATTTTACTATAGTATGTATATCTCTAAAGTCAAGATATCATTTTAACACTTTTTATTTACAGCTTAGAAATTATGATCTAGGTAAAGACGCCATTTACTTGTAATATCTCACTTTGTCCCAGCATCATATTTTTTTAAATTGATTATTGGCATTATTTAATTTCGTTTTTCGTTTGTTTCATTTTTGACAGTATATTAAATAGTTTTTTGTGTTGTTCTGTTGTTTTATCATTACTGTTATTTTTTTTTAATGTGTGTATCTTTGTAATTGGAACTTATTCCCCCTGTAGAGTAAGTTAAATAAATAAATAAATAAATTATAAGTGTTTTATTACAATGGCGCATAGTTATAAGTAATCATGAACTGAATTGGATATGCTATTGGTCATACCGATTTCGTAGAAGACCTCAAATTAAGTGTAAGTGTAAGAAATGTAATCTTAAGTGTCAACGTCAAATATTCCAGTAGTTCTCAATATGTTTCATTATTTGTTAATTAAGGTACCGATTTGACCTGTTCTTCATTTATTATTTTGCATCGTACGGTTTATTATCTTTAAAATATTATTTTCAAGTCTGTAAACACGATAATATGGACATTGAATATTTGAATGAATATATGGAGTAATCTACACAAGAGGTAATTAAGCAAAACTACATACTGGATTGCCGTTTGGACTCTTTTCCCAAGAAGGATCCTCTGTCGAAAGTACTCTAACATCCCTGTCATAACCGATATCATCAAAATCCTCTTCTTCTACGTCAGATGCAAGGCGAGTGTAATAGTGGTTGAAGCCCAGATAATCGAAAGTACCGTTTATAGTACTTATTTCGTCTTCAGTGAATTCGGGGAGACGGGATCTGGTAAAGTTTTCTTTTTCGCTTCTGAAACTGACACGATCTTTCACCACTTGCGGCCAGTCTCCGAGGAAGATTGGATTGGCGTAAAGACCAAACTTCAAAACAATTGAAATGTGAGTAATCGTGAACAAATTTTTATTAGAATTAGTTGTCATACTAATTTAAAACATGAAGTTAATGTTTAAAAATATTCTATATAAAATATTAAATTAGAAGTAGTAATAATATCAGTAGGTAACCATAACTTGAAAGTCAATAAAAATGAGGGAATAAATCCACAACTACTTGATGTAACTGACTAATATTCTTTTGTTTTTCAAAACTTCTAAGTTTGAAAACCAGTTATACATATAGTATGATATAGAATGCTTTTTCATTATTTAAATCATTTAATATTTTATTAATCTATGCTCGAATATCTACCTCAAAATGCATTTTTCTTTCTGCAGCTTCTGTATCGGCTGTACTATTGCTAGCTGGTTCAGCCCATTGACCATCAAAGACGATTGACATTTTGCCTAAAATGGAAACAGAAATCTTTAGACTTATGTTAAGATATTATTTGAAGTTGTTTATTTGTGCCATAGTTTTCATTTTTCTTTATCTATTAGGTATTTTGCTACCTGTGAACAAATTTAAAAAAATAAATAAGCCCTTGCGTCAAAAGGAAGGGGTTATTTTTATGAAAATAGTTTTGTCTAACAAAAGCAAACAAAACAAAATTCACATCACTATACAGGGTGTAAATAAATAAATGCGAAAAAATTGATTCGCTGTCGAAAAATAAGGTGGGTCTTTCATATTAAAAAAATACATTTGAAGATACAGAGGGTGCCAAGAAAGTAGTTTTTATTATTTTTTTTAAATACCAAGAATGTTTGAGAAATGAAATTAATAAGACGTTTTCTGCTATCGAGAAGGCGCTCAGTTAACAGGGGTAGAAAAAGCCATCCTTAAGACTTGTTTCATACGTAACTTTTTTCTTCAGATAGCCTGATTCATTTTAAACAAAAAAAGGTTGTAATTCTTCGTAAAATTAACGACTTTTGAGCAAAAAAATAGAAAAGTGTAAAAAGAAGATGTAATTCCTTAACAATATTTTTTTTTTGTTTTCTTGTCGGACTGGCGTCTTAACCCGGTACTTTTGTCGGACTCAACTACTTTTCGTTCTAAGATACATTATTCCATCATGTATTACTTTTGTCCGACATGCATGTATGAGGAAATATAATCTTATTATTTTGACATTTTTGGGGTGTCGGACTACTCGTACGGTACATGATTTTTATCGGACAAGTTGACCACAGTTTGTTTCACAAATTACTTAGGCAATTTAAGTAAAATGGAGCTTACATGTATAATAACATAACATAATGACGCTATTTTGATAATTTAGAGATGGTGGACAAATGGGAACGCGGCATGATTTTTCTCGGACAAATATTTTTTTAATTGTTTTGTCATAGAAACTGACCATTCTGATAAAAAAAGAGAATTGCATGTATCGGATTGTAGCATAGCGTCAAAACGACAATTCCCGGAATGGCTTGTTCAAAAACGCGGCGACGCCGAAAATTTTCAAAGAGTTTGTCAGATTCGTTATAAAGAAGGCACTCGCAAAGTTTGGCACTTGCTTGTATAACTAAAACGCAATGAGTGACTACTACTGGTGACTATATCATTGGCATAGGGTAGAAATTTTATCGAACTGTAATTTATAACATTCAACATTCATTATAATTAGTTTAATAATTTATAATAGCTTGTTTTTTCACATATTTAATAAAATTATTGAACTAATTAATAACAATTAAGTTGCCATTACAAAATGTTTTTTGGCACTTATTTGTTTTTACCTTGTATATCGCGCACTTCAAAATGTTGTTAACATTTCGAAAACTATCTGTTTTCGTCTTCTGAACTACTAACGATTTTTCGTTCTCTGACAGTTCCAATTTGTTGCTTTTGCCTGTTTTTGTAGTTAGGTTAGGTCGATAATGTTTAATCTATTATTTACTTACTTCACCTTTTAGAATTTGTATCTAAGGAGGACCGAATTTCACAGAATTTACAGAACAAATTTAATATTAGAATTTTAATATTAATTTTAGACCACTAATACTTTACAGATTTCATTGTCAAAGAACACCCCACAATAATGCTTTCCAAAATTTAAAAAACTGCATTTAGAGCATACCTTGTGAATGCAATGAACATTATGTTGGAGAGCGATTACTGCGTTTTACTTACCTTTTAGATCTGGAAAATCATTTTTGTACATATGATACACTTCAGCATGCGACTTCACTATGATGTACGGACATATGTAATCGGCGATACCGTTACTGGATATTCTTGGGGCCAAGGATCCCACGCCATAACCGGCTCTACAAACTTGTTTTGGCTCGTTGAAAGTAGCCCAATACTGAACTCCGACCAAATTTTCAATCATGACTCGAGCATATTCCTTAAAATATGTTACCATGTTTGGGTTGGTCCAACCACCAATTTCTTGTAGCGGTTGAGGAAGATCCCAATGGTAGAGGGTCACTACGGGTTCAATATTCCTAGCTTTAAGTTCCTTCACCAAGTTTTGATAGTAGAGTAATCCTTTTGCATTGATCTCGTTGGCAAAACCAGTTGGCAAAACTCTGCAAATATTATCGTGGTACAAATCTTATATTAAACTTCAACGCATATATTCTCGTATGCAAATATTGCCCTAGTGTTTTTTAGATACATGGTACTGAAATTTTCAGAAAATGTTATTGTCTTTAAATATTTTTAAATTGTTGAATGGAAAGTTTGTGTGCCCTTTATGCTCGTATGGGAATGGCATTCAATGGGAAATAATTAACAATAGTTGAGCAATATCCTTGCTATGTGTTGTTTCAATTTATTATTATTTTTATTATTAATATTATTATCATTTTTATTATTCTTTTTTTGCAGCTTTCTCTGGTGTATCCTCCTGATGGACGAGCTAAAACTAATACCAGAAGTTAATTTTTTATTTAAAAAGGATGGTGTTATACTACACGTATAAAAAGTAACTGCTTTTTGTGAAATGGTATAAATATTCTGATCGAAATAAATTTTAGAGGGATGTAATAAATATCCCTGAATTAGTGTGGTGTGATATCTGTAGTTAAAATAATAAGCGGTATGATTTGTTTCCAATTCGTTCTATTGCCAGTTCTAGACATACGTATTTTTTCTTTTCTTATTAGCACCTATTCTTAAATACTTTGCATATATCTCGGAAAATAAGTGCATTTATCATTTGCCATCGTTTTGTCCTTGAAAATATGTGGGGGACTCTATCGGAGGCTTTAAGAGATTTAATTGTAAGTAAATAGTATCGACAGGATTCCTACAATTAAAAGCAAGAGATCACTGGTTTAAACTTGGCTACAGATTGGTGGTAGTAGATCTGTCTGGAATAAAACCGTGTTGTGATTATGTTATGAGTTTAGGAGAAATTCATAATTCTTTCAACAAATTTGAGGCAAATGGGCATCCAACTGGTTTACCAACAACTGCCGAGATCTGTTTATCGCCTTTTTTAATATAGCATTTGTGATAGGTACCATCTAGTCAGACGGGAGAGATGAAGTAGCTAGAAAAAATTGAAATATAAAATATAAAATCTTAGCTATAGCGCGTATTTCAATACAGAAGCCGGAAAACCGTCAGGTCCAGGAGCCAAATCTGCACTATTTGGATCAAATGAGCAGATAGTTTTAAATGGAATTATTTGCCGTAAATGTTATTTTATTCTATTCAAATGTATATACTTTCGTCAAACCATGTGAAATATTTGCTGTAATCTATAATTTTTCTTAGAATTTATATTATTTGTAAGGATATATAATTTAATTCAAATCTTTTGTAGTTTTGAAATTTATTATCTCGGACTTTATCTACAATATCTCTTACAGTTCATCATAAACTGCACACATATTTGTTTCAAAACTACCAGTTCCTTAAAATACATATGTATATTTAAAATTTAGTATTAATGTAATGAATGAATGTAATGTAATGAATAATTCTATTCAAGACAAATGTAGCATATTATAAACAAACTTATGTTTTCTTGAAAGAAAATTGTAGCAGGTCACAGAATGGCGTAGGTGGGAAGTAGCACGATAGATGGAGCCACTTACGATCTATGTATACACATCTCCTTGTGACTAACGACATGAAAGCGGCTGGATCATTCTAAAGCCATAATGATGAGGATCACTAATAAGTTCCAAACCCAAGCCCAAACCGACCTGTCTGGTTGGTTAAACTTACCAACGATCCTAGCTCTTGTTTGTAGGTGTTGTGAGTTTTTAAAAAACAATATATTTTTTATTATTGAGAAATATTTACATCCAAATATATTCTTAAAATAATTATATACAATCAATAATTTGACCAAAACTATTCAATTTTGTATTAAACAAACAATACATTAATCTACAATACAAAACATGTTTTTATAAAATCTATGTAGAGCATAAAATTAAGATCGAATAGAATTCTTTTAACTGTAAGTATCAAAAATTTATTTTAAATGCTGCCTATTTTTTAAAGTAAGGTATTATATTTCTGGGTAGAATAGTTATTTAAAGCATTTAAATAAATAAGTAGTTTTCTTGAAAGAAGATATTTTTTTGCGTAAATATAAACGTGCGATACCTTAAAATCAAATGTACATTTGAAGCAAGAAATTATATTTTGGGTGTACACGAATGTATTGGAAGGCTGCTGCACATCAGTCTTATCAAAATTTGCAGTTTGAACATGCTCCTGTCTAAATATGCAAATGCTGGAATGTTAGAAGGAAGGGCACTTCGGTAAATACGTATGGAAAATTGGTGGCTAAAACTTCTGCACATTTCATTCCACAAGTACCCTATGACGTTACGAATCAACGGAGATTTTAGACTAAACAAAATTTCTAGTATATTTGAAAACGGGCTTTTGATCTAGTTTTTTCGCTATTGATTTTCATAATTCAAATAAAACATTTTCAGAGAAAAACTTATAAATAATTATACTGTAACAATCTGTTTCTAGAAACTAGAGGCTTTTGACCTTTGGTTCTTCAAGCCGTTTCGGTCTAAAATTACCTAAAGAACAAATTTTTGGAATTATGGACAAATATTTAGAAAGCATCATGTATTTAATGTTGCTCCTAGTTTCTCGTTAACAGCTGTCTATTACTTTAGTGTATGTAATTTCCATATTTTGTTTTCTAATACTATACCTAGACCAAGAAACAGAAAACCGATAATGGGTCAGGTTAAGTCCTGCGATAAGTTCAACGTCTTCCTTGTATTTGTGATAGGAATCGCAGGCAACGTCAGCGGTATCATTGTTGGTTATGCTCGAAGGGTCAGTGTGTACCATGCGATCCCATATATTTTCTCCTTTTCCATCTTCGTTCCAAGCCCCTTCCACTTGATAGGCGGCTGTGGCTACTCCAAACATGAACCCATCTGGGAACGTTTTGTTGTTTTCAGCTTGGGCAAAGCTATAAAAATTAACAAACTATTAAAATCTAATTATAATATATAATAAGTTATTTCTATTTTTATATGGAAATAACAAAAATTATGAAATACAATTTTTGTGAAAATAGGTTAGGATATTTGAATAGACTACATTCAATTCAAAGGTGTTAGAAGTAAAAGGGCATCAGTAATGCTTTTTGCTAATTTCAAATAAGAACAATTTTTCTTAAATTCATAATAATTCATAATCCTTAAATTCTTAGATTCAGGAGGGGGTCGAACTGACAAGATAATAGGTACTTAAGGTATAAAAAAAGAGAGACCCACTTTGCCCTTAAAGGTCTGAATTGGTAAATAAGAGAAGAACAAAACTTCCGAACCCAAAATGGGCAAGATCGAAGTAAAATTGTTGAAATCATTGACCAAGGCAGTTCTCCTTGGGTTTCCACACCGTGCGATCTATTTAGAGTCTAGGGTAGAGTCTAGAGTCTAGTTTATTAATGTATAATCTTGATTCCAACTTCTGTCATGTATCCGCGATTCCTGGAATCTAGGAAGCCACGTTACCGCGTGCAAAATAGGCATTTATATTGTTTCTTTGAATCTGATGTATTATATTTGTATTGTGAGATTCAATTTTATACATTGTTATTAAAAAACTTGCTTAAGAAGTTCTGATACTTTTCTGGATTAAACGCTACGTAAGCAAATGAACAGTAATGATTGCAAAAACGTACAACATTTCTAACATATAAATTACCCCTTTACCTACTGCATATGTGATACCTAAATATAATGTCAAAATATACATCTCAGCATGTGTTATACGTTAACTAATATATATTTATAGCTAATATGAGTGGTGTGTGTAGGTCTTCACTTGTCTGCTATTGTTTTCTATATCGTGCAAACAATAAACACGTTTTAACCTGTTTTTACTGCATATGTGATACCTAAAGATAATGTCAAAATATACATCTCAGCATATACGTCAACTAATTTATAGCTATTATGAGTGGTGTGTAAAGGTCTTCACTTGTCTACTATTGTTTTTTATATCGTGCAAACAATAAACACGTTTTAACCTGTTTTTACGTATTCAAATAAAGTACGTTTTTATGCTGTAGTGCTAATAAAATTTCCTGCGGCTATGTGTTTAATGAAATATTATTAACTATAAATTTTTTTTTTGAGTTGATTAAAAATTAATTATGTTTGTAGAATGTAAAAATTGTAAGAAGTTTGTTTACAAAGTTCCTGGCAAAAAAATTATCTCCGAAGAAGAAGCAAGATTATACGGGGTGGTCCGAACTTTATGCAGGAAATTTAGAGGGCTAATAGATCTCCTTAAAATAGTTTGCCTTATAAACATAGGTCTAGAACGGCATCGTTTTAGAAATACAGGGTGTTGAAGTTGTAAAAAAAATAGATTTTTTGTTTATATCTCCGGAATCTATTAACCGATCTCAATAAAATTTGGTACAGATAATCTATGACAGTAGGCCTTACATTCCTTAAAATATGAGCTCTGAAGGTTCAGCAAGTGGTGTACAACTGGACAGGGGTCATCCTCTTTTTATAAAAACACCTACGCCACTATATTTTTACAAATTATTGTACGGATTTATATTCTAAATACATAAAAAAGGTAACTTGAATTTTTTCATTAAGATTCCCGTTCTCAAGTTATTCATACCAATACAATCCGCTTGTGGCAGACACTTCAAACCATAATATTACAAGAATATTTATGTTTATGCTTAAAAGTAAGTGCAATTTGTAAGTAGATCAACAAAATTCTTTCCACATCACCTGTGAGGTACTGTTTCTAGTGTGTTTTAGTTTCCCCTGGAGGCCTAATCCACTATCATTACAAATAAGAACAATTTAAATCAAAATAATAATAAAAATATGTACATTGACCAAACAACAACAAGTATACAAAAAACAAAATTAACGTTACGTATTTACAAAAATTGTTCAAAATTCGAACCAACCACATCGATACATTTTGACATCTTCTATTAATGGAACCAATTGAAGCTAATATCATGTGGTGGTTTTCTTTTCATTCATTACACCCGTCTTCTATTCTGTACAGATACTCTTGTATCTATTGGAGTAGAGTAAACCTTACTTTTCAGATAGGTAACCCTAAACATAGAAGTCCAGGGGATTTAGATCTGGCGATATGGCTGGACTCTCTGCACCATTATGGTTGACATTTGTATTTGCTCTTCTACCTATCCATCGCTCCATATAATTTTCATTATAGCCATTCTTGTATTATTCTCCTAAAATGCGCAGGAGCATCATCCATTTGTATCCAGCTATTTTGTGGTATAGTTAATGGAACATTCTCTAATAATTCAAATAGATGGTTTCCTAGAAAGTTTAGAAATGACTGGGAATTTAGATTGGGTGGCAAGAAGAAAGATCCACAAACTTTATAGCGAATTATTCCGAGCTACACTTTCACAGAAAATTCGTGTTGAAAAGAATTTCATGAGGATTTTCTTGAGACCAAATATTGTGAAAATTTACTACCCATCGTCCTGCGAACGTATCGGTATTGCGAGAATTTTCGCGAGACCAGGTGCGCAAATTATGTGTTGTATTTATACCATTCCGTGTAAAAGTTGCCTCATGCGTCCACAAAATAGAAAAAGAAAATGTATTGTCTGCTGCGTTTTGAATTAAAGTCAAGTTACAAAATTCTAATCTTGTTTCATGATCTCCCTCATGTAGTGCCTGAGTGTACTGGTAATGAAACGGGTGTATCATTTCTCGATTAAGTGTGCGCCAAACGAAAGAATTTGATACATTTTGTTCAGTAGCTATACGGCGAACACTTAAACTATGATTATCTAATACAGCATCAACTACATTTTCCTCATCGTTAACATTGTAACGTTGTTCACGTTCATTAGTGTTACTATTGGTGGTACCTGTTCAACAGATTTACAAGGTTGACAACTATTAGGAAACCGTCTTCGATATTCGCGGTTAGCCGCTCTACTACTTCCATCACAGAAACCATAAATATACACAATATCTGTATATTTCGAAGCACCAAAGTACACCATTTTTGCATATTTATAACAATAATAACAGCTACTGTCAAATCGAAACGTAAGACATGCATTTTGTCTTTCATGGCACTCTAGAAAACAATGTAGTATTTCGATGTCTATTGATATGAACAGATTAATTTTCAGTGGAAGCATAAGAATTTAAATAGGTTTTTCTGGAAAACCGTTGCAGATATCGTAAAGAAAAAAGTATATCTTTTTTATGTAGAAATCGTTAGGGATTTCGATTTTCGAAAAGAGAATTATGAATTTAACAAATAAAAAAATTACAGATTTTGAACTTTTGCTTGCCTCCCGTAGGGACGCTCCTGAACACAATGTGTCAATTTGGTTTAGATAAAGTAATTCCTCGTAATAAATGGTACCTCTGAATAAAATTTTATCAATTTATTTCCAAGCATTTTCGAGATATTGTAATAAAATTGCTTTTAATTGTCCCCCTTGAAGAGGCGTAGCGCCACAGGGGGGGGGGCGTTTTCGGCACACCGGAAATGAAACACCCTGTATATTATAACACATGCTGAGATGTACCTATATTTTAACATTAACTTGAGTATCACATATGCAGTAGGTAAAGAGGTAATGATAATGCACATTATGTTTCTATTAATTGTTTAAGTTTGTAGTAGAAAAAATAAGGTTTTCATTTTATTACTTATAAAGCGCCTTCGGAATTTTAATGAGCTTTGTTGTAGTAAAAGTACGTAATCTAAAGAGTATCTAGAATCTTTTTGGTTGGTGTAAGTATGTTAGAACTTAGAAAAAAAAATTAACAATTATTTTTCATTTTTTTTAGACCAAAAAACTATAATATTCTCTAAAATATTCCTCAAAGATTCGCATATTTTTATCTGTTGTAATTTTTTAGAAAAACTAATTTGAAATATAATAATCTCTGCACGTTATCTCAAAAGTAGTTTGACTGGCGCTAAAATAGTATGTATGATGTTTTCATTGTAAGCTAATATCAAAACTACTATTATTTTACACATTAGTCATGGGGGCCATATCAACATGCTTATCCGGTTAGACCCTTTAAAATTGCTATGCTAATAATTTTTTTTAGCTTATGATTGTATTTAGTAGGTATTAGGTATTCTTATATATATTTATTTAATTATTGAATATTGGAATGGATATACTCGGAATATTGAAATTCTTTTCTTGGAAACGCCAATACACTTATCCAATATTAAGTGACGTCGAAGTTCTAGGATTCTTAGTGACGGCATCTCGCAACATTTTCGCCACATTTTTGCTTAAGTCATTACTTCAAGTTTTATCAGCTTATCTTACACATCGATTTAAATATATACTTTTTCAAACTTTAACATTTTGTATTTAGAAAACGAAACGTTCTTCAACCTATATTTATATGAACATACGTAAATTGATAATTTAACGGGAAAGGTGAATGATTATTGTATTTAACTTAACTGCGCAACTGAGCTGTTCAATAACAAAATGGGGTAGTGGATGAAAGGAGTGAGACATTGACAGGATGCGCAGTAGTATACGTCTTATCTATCTCTTCTTACATCTACGATTTTATTATAATAATATAAGTGGAAAGAGAATAAATAAGTACGTCAAATAATATTTGAATTTTTTTTCGTGTAATATAAATACCTACCGCGATGTAGATAGTAATAAAATTTTGTATAATTATGAAGTAACTTGTTACGTCTGAAGTACATAATTGATATACAATTAACTGATAAAAAGAATATTTCTCATGTGCATCATTCCACTTCATTTAACAATTTTTAGCATAACTAGAAAATCATGTGATTTATAATTACAATTCCTACCGATAGCCTAGCTCAGTGCATACATAAACTATAGATATAAAAACTTTATTATTAAATGATAATTGTAGCGGTGTGATTTTACACAATCTTTTGCTAAGCCATTGCAATAACATTTTATTAAAGGAATTATGAAAGAAAATCTAATTGCATCCTTAATACGAGATGTCCTGACAACAAAAGTATATACTCCAAGAAAGGTACTTTGATCAAGTATGGCAAGTCCCTAATTTGGGCATTTTTCTGTGTATTTGAGCGATGTGTATGAGTAAAATTGTCTACGTGATATTTTCTATGTGCTTAAAATCACACTAATTTTGGTATTAGCTGCCAGAGTTTATTGTTATCGCTGACACAGTCACATGGTTTGATTGGTACATACTTAACAATTATAAAATTTTTGCTCAGACTTTTTGTTCCAATGAAATTGACTTGAATTTAATTTATGTTTTTAAAACCACAAAAACAATTTTCTTCAAATAAAAACTAGCCTATATTTTTTTAATTAGAAACATATTGCAAGTTACCTATCTCAAACAAAGGCGCTTTTTCTACTATAAAATATGAGTAGTTTTCGCTACCATATTGTTATTTTTTTTAATGTCGATAAATACATTAGGTACAGGTACATATATGGATACAAATATTTTTTTAATTTCAACTTGAACATTGCAACTATTAAGTTATATTATTATATTTTGGCCTCGGGATTTTCTGGTACCATTTGCCCTGCTTTCTAAATTTTACATGCTATCCTAATTAATTTATGACATGTCTAAGTATAGCATACTTGCTATTATTCTTTGTACCTACCCTTTAAACAAAAAAAATTATATTTTACTCTTTAGTTTTACAGAGTAAAGCAGTAAACATATAGACGAAGTTGAAATGGCTACTATTAGATTTTCACAAAATCCATTTTTATATAGATATAGACAGTAAACACATGTTCATGCTATAACAGAACTGAATTGTTGTATCCTTCCTGAATTAATAAAACAACTTTTATATCTTACCTTGCTAAAGCTATGAAGCAGCAGCACAATAGAAACCTTGTCATATTAAGATGATTTTGATAACTGGCTCCAAAGATTCCTGTAATCGTTTTTTACAATTTGAGTATTTCATAAACAGCAAATAGCGCAAGATAATTCTAATGACATATTATCTGAATATATACTTGAAAACCTTGACTACTGCCCCTTAAGATACTACTTTTTACTTAACTCTGAAATAATGCGAGATAACGTTAACTACTTATTAGTAATTATTTCATTTTAAATATCTTTTGTGGTTATGCCTTTATATAAAAAACGCTATATTGACTGTAGTGGCAAGTGAGTTATACTTGTGTACAATTTAAATAATAATAGTCATACTCATATTGTCTATTGACTACCTACATACAAAGTATATATACACGTCAAATCACAATGGAAGAACTGTTATTAAACCTTTGGTGGTCTCAAGAAAAGAACAACAAAAAATGCGATTTTTGATCAACATTTTTGTTATATTCAATTCCTTTTCAGTAAATTTCTTTTTACTTTTTTAAATCTTGAGGTCTCATTCTTAGTTAATATTTTTCTAGTTATGGGTGTATTTGCAAGCTTGAAGTAAATGTAGGCGTTAATTAATAATACTTATCATTCAATATATTTTAAATTTCCCGCACCGTAACGTCTGCTTTTACAAATAACATAACCTCACACTGTTATTGTTGGGGACCGTCTAGCCGGATGTCATGTCCAATAGATTTCGATCGGCCGAGGTAAGCATTACGGACGCAGGCTAGAACTTGAATGGGTGACCTAAGGCAGGCTAGGGGACGTGGTTGTGGCAGCCTACCAGAGACCTAGGTCGCTCAACACCTTCCGCCTGCGTGTGGTCCCCGATAAAATGGTAATGAGAATAGAGCAATAAATTTCTGTAACTCAAGACCATACATTAAAAATTGTACGAGATTTACCACCAAGCAACCCGTGTAGTAATAAGATGGTTTGAAGAAAAGTTCTCGAGTAATGAAGGAGGGTGTACAAGAGGCCTAATAAGGCCTAAGTGCCGGTGGAAAAGTGCCGTAGAGAAAGACCTCGATTCGATGCCGGTTTAGCGTAATGGCAACAATGCATTGCTCTGCGATTATAGACTTTAATCAAGTGACATTTAGAGAGGTTAGAAATTTCAAAATATGAAATATGTAAATGAGCTGTAAAAATAAGATAAATGTGACTTTTACAAGATTTAGCACAGGTATAAAAAGTGGAATTTACGCACAGTTGACTTGCAGATGTGTTTTAATAGGAAATCCCATGTTCGGTAAATTTAATTGTACCTACCTACTAGATTGTATAGTTCAATTTAAAATTGATTGATTCTAAATCAACTTGGGTTACCTATACGAAAGATCTAGTAATGCGTTTGCCTTCAAAAAACATTCTATAAAATTTTAGCAAAGAAACACTATATGTCTGAAAAATATCTAAGAATTGTTTTGAAGAATTTTCAAATATACAACGTGTTAATGATAAGTTCAAAAAAATTAAAGGGGTGAAAATGGGGCAAAAACAGAGTTAACTGATGTCACAAACTTGTATTGGATGTTTAAGGTCATAGAGAAAAAAGCTAATTAAACATGTTTAAACACAACTGTTTTGGAACTGCTGAAATACATGTATCGCGGCGAGTACTGTAACACTTTTTTATGAGTTTGTAGGTTTCTTATGATGCCGGTGTATTCGAAAGTCAGTTTGTAATACATTGTTGTAGTGATTGCTGAGTAGCTATATTTAATTGCCGTATTTCCAAGTTTACTTTTGAAAACGGCGCATTTATTTAGCAATCGCGAATGTTATGATATGCTCATAATTTATGGCGAAGCAAACGAAAATGCCCACAGAGCTTGTCAAGTGTACCGTGCAAGATATCCTGAACGACGTGCCCTCGCACCACGAACATTTGTTGCTGTAGTGCAAAGAGTTTCTAGAACCTGAAAAACAAAAACAAAACTGAAACAAACCCAAAACTCTTGTTTCCATCAAGCGGGCTACATTTTGTTCGAGTTTTGTTTTTGTTTTCGGTCCTTTTCCACTGGTTGTCGCGAGGAAGTCAGAACATATTTTTCCAATAACCAACCAACATGTTTAGAGAAGATTTTTTTATTCTTAGTTTTAGGTTTATACTGAAGTCCTTGAAAAAAAGTAAGTGTCTACAGAGTGTCCCACCTCGAACTCCATCGATGGATATCTGGGAAACCGCTGGAAGGATTTTTTTGGAATTGTGATGGTGTGATACGGACCGTGGGGCCCAGCAAGTTAAAATATTTTGAAGGTCATCGTACTTCCGGTTATACAGGAAGACGATACTAACTTTCTTATTTTAAATGGAACCCTCTGTATATTATTGCATTTTTGGAAACATCATCCATTTTTAAGTTGAAAACATATGGCACACTCCATACTTAGGATTGACCGTTTCCGAGATATTTCGATTTTTAAACAAAAATTGACGCAGACTGTCAGCAAAATTTAGTTTTCCCGGTTTATTTTTTTGTGCAAATTGGACATTTTGTAGAGGAAGACCTACTTTATCGAATTTGCCATGAAAATTTTCCAGTTTTTATACAGGGTGGTCAAATTTTTTTTATCGAATATGAAGTTCAGAATTATGTGGAAAATTCGAAATTTTTAAATGGAAACCCCAAACTTTTTTTGCAATAATATACAGGGGGTTCCATTTCAAATAAGAAAGTTAGTATCAACTTCCGGTATAACCGGAAATACGATGACCTTGAAAATATTTTAGCTTGGTAGGCTAAACAGACTTGAGTTTCAAAACACGTCGAAACCTTTTGATGTGACCGCTTTCGAGCGGGACCCGAAAAACAAAACTCCAACTGTCGCAAAACACGCCAGTCTTCAAAAAGTTTGCGAAAAGTTACAGTTTTGTTTTATTCGACAGAAGTTGTGTTTTGTTTTTGTTTTGTCCGCTTAGTGGAAAAACCGCCTTTTTGAAGCGGGACCCGAAAAACAAAACTGCAACAGTCGCAAAACACGCCAGTCTTCAAAAAGTTTGCGAAAAGTTACAGTTCTGTTTTATTCGACACAAGTTTGTGTTTTGTTTTTGTTTTGTCCGTTTAGTAGAAAACCGCCTTTACAGTTCTGTTTTATGCGACACAAGTTTGTGTTTTGTTTTTGTTTTGTCCGTTTAATGAAAAACCGCCTTTAGACACCGGTGAAGTACAACCCAGTGGGGTTGGCGCAACGGCTCTCTGGGCCCGTGCGCAAAGTACATAAAAGGCCTGCTCTCTCTTCCAGAAATTCCAATAAATTAAAAATAAACGTCTAACGTACTGTAATAACTTTATTTCGATAAAAATAAAAAACAATAAAAATAAATAAAAACCATATAAATAAAAGTAAAACTCCATTCTATCACAAATAAAAATAAAACTCCATCCTATCACAGTGAAAATCAAAATAATTGTACTTTTAAAGACAAAAGCAAAAGTAAGACACGCAAAATAACCATAACATTTGGTTACGTTAGTTTAATATTTAGAACAAGAAAATACATATTTGACCATGATTTGACATTCTATCAGTTGTGGTAATTCCATGATACCTAACCAAAAGATGATACGGTGTGAGAAATTATTATTAACTTAAACAAAACATTTTTTTAAACACAGATCAATTATTAAAATTGCACTTTCCGGGCCTTAATAATAGAAAACGTATTAACTAGTTTTTGAATATTAATTTTTGAGGCTTTTGGTTTCTCTATTTCCAAATCTCTACCAGTGGCGGTTCGTGACATTGAGAATAGGCGATGCATATTAATTGATTGGTTAAAAAGAAAACAAAACGCCGCAGGCGAAAATTTTTTAATTTTCAAGGTCAAACGACTTTAAATGAATCTGGAAATTTTTAGTTGCATTTGTAATATTACCGAAAAACTGACATTCGCCAGAAGGATTTTCATTTAGATTTTATAAAAAATAGAAACACAATTAAACACGGCATATATACATACAGGAAAGGCATACAGGCATATAGAAAAGTTTTTTTAAATAAACACTTATACTCCGAATACCATTCATTCTGAAACATCCGAACGTACACTTTGTCTTTTGACTTCCCCCTTTTTTCAACATCCAATAAAAATACATACTGGATCATACATACTAAACATTTTTACAATTATTGATACAAAACTAATATTAACAAGGAACCGTTATAATCGTGCACTGGGCGACGTATCGTATAAACTGTTTAAAGTAAAGGCAGACGATGGGCGATGGCGATGCTGCTTCAATTTCCGCGTCACTCGTTCCCCCACGCTGTTGTTTACTTTCATGTTGGCCGCCTCCTTGCCATGACAACCGCCGTAAACAACGCTACGAAGTGAAGCGAAATACAAACTGATTTCGAACCGCGAAATACAAACTGATTTCGATACGCGTCACTTACTTATGCTATACGTTGTACGAGGTTGATATTCCCGCTCAACCAAGGCACTGTTTTTTATAGAAGGTGGTCACCGCGCAACTATTCTGTCTATTTCTGCGTATAAAACAAACAAACAAACACAATACATTTTCAATATAGAGTTATACCTAAATTTTGAGATTTATATAAAATTAAAAATAATTTTAAATTGCGCAACTAAAAAATTTTTTAGCCCGCAGGGGCCCCCGTCGTGGCTTGGGCCCGTGCGCATTGCGCAACTGTAGCTACGCCACTGGTACAACCGCGACGGTTGCCCATGGCGACCACTAAGAATCTTAAATGGCGAGGAGATGATTTTAGATCTCGTCGAAGAAGATCCACATTGTAGCATCAGAAATGTCGCACAGCAAGTAAATATTTCGTACCGTGTTGTGTGGCGAGAAACTCGGTTGTATCCATTTCATATTCAAGCGCTTACTCCTGAGGACTTTCCACTACGTCGAGGTTTTTGCGATGGTTGCTTCTGGAACATGCAAGAAATCCTTAATTTACAGTGCAAATACTTGTTACAGATGAAGTATGTTTCAGTCGAAAAGATGTAAGTAACGTCCACAACACTCACTGGACTATCGAAAATCCACACGAATTTCTTCGCGGTGCCTTTCAGCAACAGTTTTTTGTAAACATGTGGCCGGTATCGTTAATGACACTTCAATAGGACCTTTTGCATTGCCTAGAGGCTTAGACGGCGCTTCATATCTAGATTTTTTGTAAAATCGCTTGCCGGAGTTATTGGAAGACGTGCCATTAAATGTTCGGTAAAATATGTGGTCACTGCATGACGGAGTCCCCGCTCACTTTTTTCGGAGAGTGCGCGACTTTGTAAACATTACTTTTCCCGATCGCTGGATAGGCCGCGGCAGCCTAGTTAGATGCCCCCCATCCATTTAGACTTCTTTTTGTGGGGAAATGTAAAAAGTGTTGTTTATTTCACGGAAATTTGTGACATCGACCAACTGCGACATCGTATTGCCGAAGCTTGTAATACGACTCGAGAGGATGTGGCAATGTTGCAATGCGTACGAGCGAATTGGATACGTTGCGCTGAAGCTTGTGTGCAAGCAAATGGTGGGTATATTGAACATCTTCTATGAAAATCAGCAGTTCTCAAAAGGTGGCTCCTTGCAGGAGGTAAGTTAGATTTTAAAATTACATTTTACTCAACAAAAATCCGTGTATTGTTCGTTATGTGAAAATAATGGACATGTGGCAAAAGATTTGACATAAGTTCACTAACACCCTGTATGTAGTATACACACAGGTACAACAAATTAGTATTATTTCTTTTACAATCTAATGATAATACTTTTAATTAATTTAATTAATAAAAATCGACCATTCGTCATTTAATATTTTGTTTTTTATTTGTTATTGTAGATATTATTAACATCGACGATATCTAATTTATAATGAAGTACCGAGTCTAAATATTCTGATAAAAAATGTGGGATAGATTAATGTACTATTTATTAAATGATTACATTTCATATAAATGCAAAACCATTACAAACTTCATTAATGTATTTCAAACATGGACAGTTTTGATAACATTCTAACACAATCACACATAAAATCACAAAAAATGTAATATATTTACTGATAATTTTAATTTCTAAATTTTATAATTTACATCAGTATTTAATATCAAATGTAGAAAACTATCTTGAAGTACTACTTAAGTGAATATTTTTGCTAATTTAAAATCGATAAATACTATTACTGCTAAAATAAATAGGGACTGTGGCTTAATTCCATACGACGAACCAGGTGTAGATGTAGGCGGTTCTACTGTTGTTGGTGACCCTGTAGGTACTTCTGTTGATGGATTTGTTGTTTCCGATGACTCTATTGTGGATGACCCTGTAGGAACTTCTGTTGATGGATTTGTTGTTTCCGATGACTCTATTGTGGATGACCCTGTAGGAACTTCTGTTGATGGATTTGTTGTTTCTAATGACTTTATTGTAGTGTAGATTGTAGTGTAGGTGGCAGTCGTAACTTCTGTTGTCGGGTTTGTGGTTGAAGATACGATAGGAACATCTGGTAAAGTCAAACTCGTAGCTATCTGTTGATAATAATAAGCAGAACGCTTCGGAGTTCTAGTTCGGTTGGTATCTTCAAAATCCACAGAGAAAAGTCCTTCGTGGGCACTGAAAAGCATTATTTTTAATTAACCAAAATATTGTTTAAAGCATACAGGTATAATACTTTGTCACTAACAATGAATCACATCAATAAGACATTTTCTAATAAGGCTATAACCCTGTGATTTATAAGTGAACATTAGAAATTTCGTTCGAAATTCATCCATGTTTAGAAAAGAATTCGGCAATTTTCAAAAAACTATTCACGGGCACAAATTCCGTTGAATCTACAAGAACCATAGACAAACAATAAAAATACATTTTCACCCAAGTTTGGAAAATTTTCCGGAATTCTTCTACGAAGCCACGAATGCCATAACAGATGGAACCAGAAAAATTTGGTCGCAAATTTGATTTGTTTTTAATTATTAGTAAGCTAGAAAGCCATTGAATTTAGAAACTTTTTTGTCTCTTGATATTTGTTTCGAAAAACGCAATGTTTTTGAGGAAAATGGCGAATCACGATATGCATTCGATCACATTTTGACATTTTTCTCGAAAACATTGCGTTTTACGAAAAAAGTATAAAGAGACAAAAAGTTTCTAAATTGAATGGCTTTCTAGTGGACTGTTAATTTTTAAGAAATTTAAATATGCGACCAAATTTTTTTGGCTCCAAAGGCAAGGGGGCCCACGAAAACTTGTCTTAAGCGGGTTCCCCGCCAAAAATCGTAGCACCATCAGATTCCACATGTCATAAAACCCCTGTATACCAAATTTAGTGATTCTCGTACAACAGGGTTCTGAGATATAAAAAAAAGATTATTCTTAGGGACGGACTTCAGGGGGCTGTAACTCCGAAAGAGGGGGCCACTTAGCAAAAATAAAAAATACGGGTCCCCTAAATTTGTCTTAAGAATCTGTGACCAAATTTTGTTGCATGAATTTCGGAACACCCTGTATTTCATATTTATTGTTAATTAAATAAAAATTTTCAATAAATCTCATAAATCTTAAAAATCAAAACGATCCAGTTTCTCCTAAAAAATTAAAAGATCTCTACGCTTTTAAAGCTCACGTAGCGATTCAGGCTTTGTCCATTCTGTGGTCCTACGGGATATAAGCCCTTAAAGCTTCCATAGACAGGCCGTCTGAGTATTAAAGCTCCTAAATAAACTACAGCTTCTAAAGCTACCATACCACAAGTAAGCATTCTTAAGAGTCCACAAATAAGGTCAAGCTGCTTCCTTATAGGCACTCCAAGACTGCTCTTTCCAAATCCGCAATAAAAAATAGGGGTTCCCATTTAAAAAACTTAACTTGACCTTAAAATGACCTTGAAGATCAAAGTCAAGGTCAAATCCAAGGTCAGATAGCCAGGGAAAAATCCTTACACTTTTGTCTGAAAATTTTTTTCCCAAAATACATTCTTCGAAAGTTATTCTGCCGTACCAGGATTTTTGGATAACCCTGTATATGAAAAAACATGTATATAGGTCGACAAACATGGCATCTGACGCTTTCATTTGAGGTTAGCCTGTCCAGCGGCGGGGTATGAAAACTACGAGGGAAAAAATTTAGATAAAATTAGTTCTTGCGACGAAATTTGAGAAAACATATTTATGATATACGTATGTAAAGATCAAATGTAGCCGCCATATAAATGTGACCCCTATTCAAAGATATATCCTGTATATATATTACAAATAATTTATAAAACTTGAAACTTAAAGAACATTGAATAGTCCTTAAGTCATTCAAATTCTACGCGTGTACTTTAATTGTCTACCTGTATCCCAGTTTCCATTCAAATTCATCCAGCAAATTCAAAGTATAGCCAATAACTGCTACATTGTCCTCATATACGGCATCTAACATATAATTCAGATAATCCTGAAATGTGACAACATTTTTAGATACGCGTAACACATATTTGGAATACCTACATAAATAGATTGAATTCGGTCGTAATCATCTAATGTTCCATTAGTAGCGATTGAGTTTTGTGTGATGAGAATTGTTGGATTGTAGTAAGATGTTTTTAGCCAATTTAAAGCTCTTCGGATACCCCATTTTACAATCTGTAAGAATTATATTAATACGTACTGTTCTTTAAAACATTTGGAAAAAGTTATGTCAATATTAGCATTTTCCGTTCTGGGATTAATTTTAATGGTAATTTATATAATGTAATATTATCTAAATTAGTTAAATTGTTTATCAAAATAATGTAAAGCTCTGAGACAATGTACAATCACTGTTAAAGTTATATAATGAAAAAGAAATTTTTATTGTACGCGGAACACAGATGGCTCCATCCTCTTTCTTCTACGGAAGAAAACGACCTGCTAAAATTTGCCAGGTACTTTTGTGGCACGACTGTCGCCAACAGGGCGAAAACAAAATGCTTAAATTGCCAGTGTTGCGAGAAACAACTACTCCGCGGGCTATATGCCCCGACCGGCATTGCATTATACTCGCAACACCTAGTGCAACAACTAGAATCGTTCGTCGGTTTAACCTATCAGGCACAGACCGGTTTCGGACTTATTAGTCCTCATCAGTGTATCATAGGTGAGACAACTGACATATAGCCAGCGGAGTAGTTGTTTCTCGCAGCACTGGCAATTTAAATCTTGATTGTTTTGGAAATGATAAATATTTTATTGAACGTATATTATACCAAATGAATGTTATGAACGTTTGACAATGTAAGGGTAGGACTAAATTGTAACACTTGCCGTGTCTCCAATAATGCCTTTTAACCATGCATCATCAGCGTATATGGTAGCTCTCATATCGTGTTCAAAGCTGGGATATTCATAATCGGCTTCTTCGGCATCTGCCACGTAACGAGTATCATAGAAGTTAAGTCCGATAAAATCGTATGATCCTTTGATGAACACAATTTCATCGTCTGTAAATTGAGGAAGACGGGTTCTAGTAAAATTTTCATTGGCACTTCTTTCTTCAACTCGATTGATGACTACCTCAGGCCAATTTCCGTGTACTAAGGGATTCGCATATAAACCAACCTAAAAAAGTGTATGATATAACTGTTGAATTGCTTGGATGAAAGTAAATCATGTGTTGCAAATTATTTTTGCAAATATTACTCATGAAACTAAAAAGTAAACTATAAATAAACTATTGTACTAAAAGAAAGAATCGGATATACCAGGAAACAATTAGAGAAAGGGATCTTCTGGAAATTCCCAGCTTGCCAGCAAATTAAACAGTCACGCAAGGTAGACAAAACAAGCTTTGGGACAGCTTCATCAAATATTCTCGCAGAATATATAATTTATTAGACTTGGTAAAAGTAAGCACCAGATGAATCTTATTCTGTTTTAGGAACTAGTTTTAAGAACAAACTGAAAAAACAACTACGGGTTCACCCTTATCTCTATAATAGGCAAATAAAAATATGGTAGCTTTCTAGAACAAGTTACGGTTTTATACAGGGTGTCCCAGAATAACGCGTACAACGGAATACTACAGATTCGTGGACTCAAAATAGGCAGATTTAGGCTAATTCACCTATGTCCAAAATCGCTTCGTTTGGTCGCTAGATGGCCTCGAAGTTCGTGAAAATTTTTTGAATTTTGTAAATAACTCGAATACGTATTATTCGATTTTGATTATTTTTGGTGTGTGGCCTGCTGCTTTCCATCTACATATTTTGGTGTTGTACGGAGCGTTTTTTAAAACTTACAACTCCTACAAAATTTATGTATGGTGAAAATATCCGTTCATAACTTTTTCCTCTTTCTGGCAATAATGACAATTATTGTTTATTTGATATGTGGTGCCATTTGGAAGTTTTTTGGCCTCTTGTAGAATTTTTATTAAATTAGCAGTTTAGGTACAAAACAATATTTTTAAATGTCTACATTATCTTGCCACCCATATTACAATCGGTACTTAACAAAGTGCTAATAGGCTCTGATTTTCAAGATTAACTGTAATTTCAGTTTGATTTTGTTTGGGATAGCATTATTATTGGCCCTGTTATTCTACCCAATAGACTGAATGGGGAATTTTATTTAGAATATTTGCAGAACTCGAGTTATTGGAAGATGTGCCGTTATTATTCAGAGGTAACATGTAGTTTATGTATGATAGCGCTCCACCACATTTCACTGTAAACGTCCGGCAGTATCTGACTGAACCAAGAATTCCCTCGTCGATGGATTGGTAGAGGGGATAATATTCCTATTAATTGGCCAGTACGTTCACTAGACTTAACACCTTGTGACTATTATCTTAGGGGCGCTCTGAAAACAACAGTGCATGATTCCACATCTAATACTGAACTGAGTTGTGGAGGCATATCCAAATTGCCATAAATGTTTTAAAAAGTAGCCGTTTTTAACTTTCTTTGCCGAATTAACCTTTGTTGTAGAAACAACGGAGGTCATTTTGAACAGTTTTTATAAGTTGTACTAAATATAATAACCTCAACTTTGTTACTTTTCTATAAAATTAGGCACGTTGTAAATAATTCTAATTCGTCGTACGTGTGTGTATCCATATCGAAAAATGAAGTAACAGGTGGTAGGTATATCTCATCGTCATAAACACTCACTAAGAATTGTCAGATACAATGAGTCAAAAATCAGACTGAAATTATAGTCAACCTACAAAATCAGTAGCTACTAACACTATTATAATATGGGTGGCACGATAATGTAGACATTTAAAAAATATTTTTTTGTACCCAAACCGCTCATTTAATCAAAATTCTATAAGAAGCCCGAAAACTTCCAAATGGTATCACCTATCAAATAAAAAATAGCTATCATTATTTCCCGAAAGAAGAAAAATTATGAACGGATATTATCACCATCAATTTTGAAGGAGTTGTGAGTTTTAAAAAACACTCTGTATAACATAAATTTTGATGTAGATTGAAAATAAAGTCTACACCCCAAAAATAATCAAAATTGATTAATACATATTCGAGTTATTTACAAAATTTAACAAAATTTCACGAACTCTGAAGCCATCTAGCGGCCAAACGAAGCGATTTTGGATATAGGTGAATTAGCCTAAATCTGCTTATTTTGAGTACACGAAGTATTCCGCTGCACACGTTATTCTGAGACACCCTGTATATGTTGGTCATACGTAATATGGTCTTACATCACATATAAGGGTGTCTTATAATTATTAGTGTCCATTAATTTACCACTTGATTCTATTGCCAAAAATAAGAATATTTTCTCATATAAACATTGGTCGAGAAATGCTTCCTAAGCGAGCTACACCCCCCTGAATGGGTCCCCAAAAAATTAATTTTCATAAAATTTTTCAAAAATTTTAGTCAGGGGTGTCTCAATTGGAGGGTCGTCGGTTTCTCAACCCATGTTTATATGAAAAAATATTCTTTTTTTTGGCAATAGTATCAAGTGGTAAATTATTGGACACTAATTATTGGACAGGGTGTCCAATAATTAGTGTCCAATAGTATAACGACAATAATAAGCTTCACCATGGAGATTGAAGAAAACCTCCTCTGTTCCCAAATGTTATTGTTAAAAACAAACAGAATCGCATTCTAGAGCACAACATTATAGAAAACCAACTCATTAGAATGGATATCTAAACGCTGAATCTCATCATCATCGGACCCAGAAGCAAAGTCATGTGTAGTGCATCGCATACATGCCACAATATATTTAGAACACTTGAATGAGGAATTACAGCTACATATGATCAGCTTTCACAAGAAATGGATATAGGTACTGCAAGAAATATTTTTCAGAAGAGGGGGAATATTTGGTAATAACCTGTCTATTCTATACATGGTCTTTCATTGACTATGTTATCTCTTAGAAATTGTTATCTTCCTGATTGTCATCAATATCCATTAGGGATAAACACTTTTCAAGATTCTTTGATTTCTTGGAAAATCTCAATAGACTGATCTTTTGATAAATAATAAGAAGAGCAAAATGTTCTCTTTTCTCGGAAGAAGGAAAATTTTCAGTAACGTATTTCTTAATAAATCATCGTTTTATAAAAGATTTGCATGCTTATTTTGAGTCTCAACTGAATTTCGGCCTTCATATAAATAAAATCATTTCAGAAGCTAATAAAACTTTAGATTTTTAATACGTATTGCGCGAAAATAATCGAACTCTGCCATTATAAGAATGTTAGGTAGGTAATTGATTTATTAGATATGAGCCGGAGTCTACTCGTAGTTGGTTATCAAATTCCAAAAGCCATATCCATCTGTTGGACAGTACGTAACGGAGATTCTGAAAGTTTTTGTATTACATAAATAGTGACAATATCTTCCAGTTCCCTACTGTATATGTATAATTCAATAGAGCTAAGTAAGAAAAATAGAAACAATTTTATGCGAGACGGCAATTAGTTCTACCTAGATTTTGGAAATGACAGGGACTACTAGTCGTGCAATGGGAGGCTATGGATCAGTGTACACAGAAAATATAAGTAAATATCGCCCAGAGTCTTAATGTCCACTTTCTGAGGAAGAGATAGACATACTTTCTGAAACGTCAACAAAAAATCTAAACTGCTGACGTGGTGACTGTGGTCTATTTAGTCTTGTTTGCACAGATTTTTTAATTCGGCATAGAGTTAAACATTTCGTATAAATAAAAAAAATTGCAAAAGCGTTTCGTTAATAGCTATTCCTATTACCCCTTTCTGCTTACAGCAAACTGAGTTCCCGCAAATTTAATGAAGAAAACATTTGTATACGTGAACCTCCAATTTGCTTACCGTCTGTCAGAAGAGTATCACAGCTCTCAGGATTCTAGCAACATATTAATGTCCAAGAATTTTGACATACCGATCTCTTCAAATGATTTATTTCAAGCAAACATCTATTACCCGCAGAAAACACTAGCTTACACTGTCAGCAATGAAATGTTGTTAAAACAATATTTGTATTTTCATTGCTGTAAGAAAGTAATAAAGTAAATTAAAAAATTCTTACCTCAAATTGATTTCTTCTCTCAGCTGCTTCTATATCCTGTGCTTCATCACTGTACGGTTCAGACCAAGGTACATCGAGTACTATAGCTATTTTACCTGCAATGAATTTATTTTCAAATATACGACAATTTTTTAAAGTTGCTGTAAAAATGTCAATTATAAACAAAAAGTAATAAAACTTTCGAAAACTATAATTCAATATATATACAATAATGACGCTAAAGCCGAAAATCAGAAAAGCAAATCTTTTTGTTCTATAAGGTGTTATACATTCATCGGCATCTGAAACTCGAAACTGCCAAATTTGTTCGAAGCTTTGCTGACACTTGAAATTTGGAACACACATAGTGTAAATATGCAGAAACCAAAAGCAATTTGCAAAATTCAATTATCTTCATTTTTGCAGTTTTGGTAAGGTTTTATACGTCACCGTTTTTTTAATTTTTGGACGTATATTTATGTACATTTATAAAATATTCCGTTACGGTAGATTAGCCAGCACAATTACCTACAATTAAAAAGATAAAATAAAGGTTTACCCCACACGTACGATTTTGTTTTGTGTTGATATGTTGAATAATGTAAGACTACGGCAAACAGGCGCAAAATGTTAAGTAGCTTAGGATCTAAACGATGAAAATTATTATTTTTTTAATTGTAGGTAATTGTGCTGGTTAATCTACCGTGATGGAATATTTTATAAATATACATATATATTTTTCCAAAAATTAAAAATAACGGTGACGTATAAAACTAGTGTGACGTATAAAACCTTACCAAAGCTGCAAAAATGAAGATAATTGAATTTTGCAAATTGCTTTTGGTTTCTGCATATATACACTATGTGTATACCAAATTTCAAGTGTCAGCAAAACTTGAAACAAATTTGGCAAAGTTTCGAGTTTCAGATGCCGATGAATGTATAAAACCTTATAGAACAAAAAGTTTTGCTTTCCTGATTTTCGGCTTTAGCGTCATTATTGTATATATTGAGATGAAATCATAGTATTGAGAGCAATTTAAAAGTTAAATTAAAATTCTACTTGAATACAACACGGTGAAGAGAAAGGTTGAAACAATTTTTATAAAACTAAGAAAAATATTTGATTAAAAAAAAATTGTTAGTATTAAATAGGTATTATAAATCATTAGCAGAGAGTCGGATTACTGGAACAGAATAAATTTCAGAGATTTAAGTATAAAAATATTATTATTTTGGTCAAATAGAGTACATGCCAAAGGTGTTATTGAAAAAACATAATTAAAATTAGAAATCGCAAATGACATGTATCAAACGAAAACTAAAATGTCATAGTTTTATTAAATAGTTGTAATATGAGTTAGAAAAATAAGTAGCAAGAGATATTAAGGTCTAAAGTAAAATTTATATATCAATAAGATATAAGATAAGTCATAAAATAGTACATATAAAAGTCAAATACAAATATAGAAATAAGGAATATTTTGAAACATAATATAAATTTTTGTAAAGAAACTGGAATAGGATTGCAAATTTGTTAAGTATAAAGTGAAGTGACGTGAAGTGTAAAAGGAAGACGGCATTTAAAAAAAAGGCATATATGTGAAAAGGCCCTAACAAGGCAGAAGAAGAGTTGTTAAAAGAAGTAAATTGGGAGAAACCAGATACATATAAGTAATTATATTGGAAAAGTGACTCAATAAGATTCCAGGAACGAGGGTTAAGAAGAATAAAACAAGCAGAAGGTCCGGCGTTCCAGCAATAACAAAAAGAAGAGAATTCCAGTAGCAGATTCCGGAAATCCAGTGAGAGCCGAAAGACGAGGATGCCATCAGCAAGTTCCGGAAATCCAGTGAGAAGAGAAAGACGAGGATTTCAGAACAATATCTAGGCAAAGTATACGCGGGAAGCCAGTCGACAATTGATAAATCAATAAGACGTACAGAAAGGTACCTTTTCTTTACTTTTTTTTGTGCACAAAGTAGACCAAAATCGTATACGAAACCGCTAGCTAGCTAAAGTAGATTGAAAAATACAATCAAAAAGGGCATAATACAAAATTTTCATATAATTAAAATTTTCATATCAAAGAAATTTGGTTTCACTATCTAAATAATTATCAAAATTTGGCCATTTTAAAATTTAATAGATATTAATTTTAGAAAAAATCGATTAATATTAGATAAAATATTTTTCAAAATGTTACAAAATATTGTAGGAGACTTCTAAATATTTTTTAACTGTGTTTGACATTCCACATTGGAATGTTATTGCTATATAAAAAAAGACAATCTAATAAATAAATTAATTTCTAAATAACATCTTTTGTTTAGTGTGGTATGTTGTGTGGTTTCATGCTGAGTTGTACCTTCATATGAACCTACTACTGAGAAGGGTCGAGAGCTAGCCAGGGTAAAATAGACAACCAACATTACAACATAAACATTTACACAAACAAATTACATATTACTATACATAAAAAGATTGGCGCGTACACAAAGACATATTCATACCCATAGCAATATATATTGAACTATAGCTTTCGAAAGTTTTATCACTTTTTATTTATAACTGACATTTTTATAGCAACTTAAAAAAATTAACATTTTATACCGTTTTTTCAATCTTTGTTATTGCTATCATATCCTAAGCAATTTTTCGTACAAAGTCATCCCGCTGAGTTATTTAAAGAAAACTACTAAAAAAATTTTTTTTCACGATTAAATTGTTAATAACTTTTTTCCTGATAAAATACTTTATCAGCAAATTAGCCTGTTATTGTACTTATCATCTAAAGTATTCCTGTGTAGTTATTTCCGAGTTATCAAGGAAATGTCACCAACAGTAACTTTTTGGCCTCCGCCGACTGGACTATATCGAAGGTCACAGAATTTGATTTCACTGGGACAAAGGATTTCGGCGAGATTTGCGCTTCAGCAACATCTAAAGCTTCCCTCTATCCATTCACTACACGAAAATCCGGTTTTTATTTGATCCAAACTCATATTTACTTATTACCTAAAAACAGTAGTACATACCTTCCAAATCAGAAAATTCTTTGCGATATAAGTTGTAGACCTCAGCATGCGCCTTTATGACTACATAGGAACACAAGTAGTCGGCTACACCGTCGAGGGCTATTTGAGGAGCTAGAGTCTCCGTTCCATACCCTCCGCGGCAAATCTGTTTGGGTTCATCGAAGGTAACCCAATACTTAACGGTATCGAAATATTGAAAAGCAGCTCTAGCGTATTTTACAAAGTACTGCACCATGCTTGGATTTGTCCATCCTCCGATGTCTTGAAGTTGCTGTGGCAAGTCCCAGTGGTAAAGAGTTACAACTGGTGTAATGTTGTAGCTTTCTAACAGTTCAATTATGTTTTGATAGTAGGAAACTCCCATGAGATTGACTCCGTTGCCAAGTCCATTAGGAAAAATTCTAAAAATAACAATTAATTAATAATTGTAATAATGTTTAAATAAGAAGTGACATTATAAACATATAATAATAATAATAATAAAAAATTCTAAAAATAACAATTAATTAATAATTGTAATAATGTTTAAATAAGAAGTGANCTATAGTAGGATCGTATACGATGCAAAGTAGAGCAAAAAATTGTCGGCCTTTTATCAAAGGAAAATCGTGTCATCATTTTTAGGAGGCGTAAGATAAATCATTTCAAATTTAAAATGAAATTCAATGTAAAATCTGAAATACCGCTGCATACGCACTGTGTTCTGGTAGTAGCTGTAGTCGCCCAGGTGCATCGAGTGTACGAACTGGTCGGTTATACGTCAAATACTAACCTGGCGAGCTTTGCCGTCAATTAGAGAGCGCTTCCAAAAAACAAGTAAACAACAGTGGCGCGTACAGAGGTAAAATGTAGTACATATGTGGAATTTAGGAAACAAATTGGATTTATAATAAATTACATTTAAAATAAATAGTTTATGAGAATAAAGGAATTTTTGTAGCAACAAGGGTGCCAGACCTGAACTGATCCCCTCGTCCCTTCATAATGTATAAAGAAATTATTCAATTTGTAAAACCCTTAAAGGCGTACTTCATTGGTTCCCTTGACAGGCAATGATTTATTACTTTGCATCGAATATGATCGTACTATAGTATATCAGATAGATATTTACAGTAAAGTATAGCCTAATGTAAGTAATTAACTAACTAATTAAAATATTACAACAGTATTAGCCAAGAGAACAGAAGGAAAAAACCAACAAATAAGAAAAACAATTTGGTAATGTAGGATAACCTAAAATTAGCAAAAATATAGTTGCTCACTGATTACTAAATAAGTATTCTGAAACTTTGGTTTTTAAATTCTTTGAAGAATATAATTATAGTCCGCAAGTAAGAACCTACAGAGACCCAAAAAGAACTGACTGGGCCTCCTATAGAACGAAGTTACAAGCCAGGACTAGGGAAATCTGTACAAAATTAAGGAACACATATGATCTTGAGAGGGCTGTGGAGAAACTACAAAACGCCGTCACAAGATCATATGAATACAGCTGTCCTATCAAAGTGAGGTCCGACAAGCACACCGTATCTTGGTGGAGCAAGGAACTCACACAGTTGAGGGGACAGATAAGGAAACTATTTAATAGAGCAAAGTGGACATGAGAGTGGGAGGCTTATAGAACAACCCTCACTGAGTATAATAAAGAAATTAGGAAAGCGAAGGAAGTTCTGTGAGGATATTGATAGTGTCCCATTGTGTGTTAAACTCCAGAGACTTCTCTCTAAGAATGGAAATACGAAACTCGGGTCTCTTAAAGCACCGAGTGGGGAATACACTAAAACTGGAAGGGAGACATTGGAGTTACTTCTAAATACTCACTTTCCAGGCTCCAGGTAAATAAACCACGAAAATGAACATGACTGGGATCACCAGCAGAGGGTAACGACCGGGTCTCGACAGAACTGGGAGGTTGCCAAGACGGTGGTGAGTCAGTCACGAATAATATGGGCAATAAGTTCTTTTGACTCATTTAAATCACCCTGTCTAGCTCCGGTTTTAATTCACGTCTTCAGAGCCAGCATTGCACTTAGTTATATACCGCTGGCACGGAGATCGACGAACGTGGCGTTTATTCCTAAACCAGGGCGTCCATCGTATGCCCAGGCAAAGGCATATCGCCCGATAAGTTTAACATCTTTCCTCCTGAAAACGTTGGAGAGAATAGTTGATAGACATATAAAGGACGGGGTGTTAAGGGCAAATCCTCTACACATGTACCAATACGCCTATCAGGCAGGCAGATCAGTCGACATAGCCCTTCATAGCCTAGTCTCTAGGATAGGGAGGGTGATGGACGACAAAGATCTAGCTTTAGATATTGAAGGGGCATTTAATAATACACCTTTCGAATCTATTAATTCAGCAGTTTGCAACAAGGGCCTTGATGACACTTTATGTCATTGGATAGATACCATGTTGAGAAACCGGACAGTAACAGCTACCCTTTCGGGAGAGACATCCAAGTGTAAGGTAGGCCGGGGCTGCCCCCAGACAGGCATACTGTCTCCCTTGTTATGGGGGTTAGTGGTGGACGGCGCACTGGAGGGCCTTAATCGAAAGGGATTTTATACACAAGGCTTTGCGGACGACTTAGTCGTTCTCATAGTCGGGAAACATAATATTATCGTTTCAGAACTCATGAAAGAGGCTTTGAAATGGATAGATGACTGGTGTAAGGGGCAGGCACCGTCAGTAAACCCTGACAAAACGGTCGTAGTACCCTTCACCAGGAGAAGGAATTTAATTGGACTCTCTGAACCTATAATAGGGGAGAGGAGCATTAGGATTTACAGGGAAGTAAAATATCTAGGAGTGATACTGGATAATAAGCTTACCTGGAATGCGCACTTGGAAAAAGTGGTGAGTAAGGCGAAGCAGACATTGTGTGTACGCCGTCGCCTTATTTGGAGCACCTGGGGACTGAAACCAAAGATGTCATACTGGTTGTATACGTCGATAGTAAGACCTAGGACTCTCTACGGCGCCGTGGTATGGTGGCAAAAAACAACAGACCACAGCGAGGGAAAAACTGAATAGAATTCAGAGATTGGCCTGTTTAGGTATAACGGGGGCGATGGAATCGACCCCGACAGCTGCACTAGAAATCATGCTAAATCTACCACCGCTGCATATAGTGGTGGAAAGAGAAGCGCGGCTAGCAGCATATCGACTCAGGAATAACAACGACTGGAGGGGTAGTTCCAGGATCATAGACACATCTATGTCGGAACCAGCTTTTGGGATGGTATCTGACAAGATGGTTCCAAGGTTTCACTTCCACAAGCCATTTGAGGCTCGAATAGGATCAAATCAAATGGGAGGAAAGGTTTAATACCCTGGAAAGGTGGAGTCTAGTATGGTTTACAGATGGCTCCAAAATGATCAGAGGGACGGGTGCAGGAATATATGGACTCAGACCCAGATGGAGTGCAAGCTACAGTCTGGGGGAGTTCCCTACCGTATTCCAAACAGAAATTTTCGCGATAATGGCGTGTCTGGCAGAGAATGTACGTAGAGGTTATAGACGTAAACTCATATATATATTCTCTGATAGTCAAGCTGCAATTAAAGCTTTAGCCGCACACAAGGTAAGTTCAAAACTGGTGTGGGACTGTTTACAAATGCTGACTGAACTGGCCACCAACAATACAGTCAGACTGTGTTGGGTGCCAGGGCACAAAGGCATTTGTGGAAATGAGAAAGCGGATGAACTTGCTAGGAAGGGATCCGAGACAGTGTTCATTGGCCCGGAGCCCTTCTGTGGCACATCTCCCAGTGTGGTCAGGCGGGCTCTGGGCAAATGGACAGAGACAGAACATAGGAAATACTGGACTTCAAGGCCAGGACATAGCCATTCTAAGGAGCTTATGGAGTATCCTTCGAAGGGAAGAGCGAATGAGCTACTGAGCTTGAATAGAATCCGGCTCAGGAGAGTGACAGGACTCATAACGGGACACTGTCACTTTAGGAAACATCTACATAAGCTAAAGCTTGTAGACAGTCCGGTCTGCCGAGGATGTGAATCGGCGGATGAAACTTCTCTGCATATCCTGGGCGAGTGCCCGGGATTTGCACGTAGCAGAATGGCGCTCCTTGGGAGACCCTATTTGGAACCCAAGGAACTGAGAGAAGTGTCAGCAAGGAAGCTTTTGGACTTTGTAAAAAGGACAAATCTACTTGCTGAATAAGACTAGTAGTGGGACGCACAATAGGCCTAATCAGGCCGCAGTGCTATGGGACTTATTAGGACCAACCACTAGAAGTAGAAGAAGAAGAAGAAGGTGTTAACGAAATACTCAAAATTGGAGGGTATGCAAAACGTGTCGGAAATGATGAAAATATTAGTAAAGTTTTTGTCAGTGGCGGCCCTAAGGGAGATACAATCCATTGAAGGGGCAACTCGGGAAACAGTTTTTATTGCATAACTTCAAAACGGTTTAATATTAAATCGCGAAATTTTGGGGTTATATTACTATTTATATGCTTAATAATCGGCATAATATACAAATCAAAATTTGCTACAGGGTCGTAAGAAAATGACGTGAATTTTTGCTATTTTTGAGCTGTTTTTTTGAGGTTAGGAAATTCCTGTGATGTGATAGCTCAATTATGACACCGGATTTGTGGTCAGGAGACAAAAATACTACGGATAATGTCGCATGAAACGTACAGACAACTTTTTTTTTTTAGGACCTATATTAGGACCTATATTAAGTAGATTGGTACTATAACAAGCAAAAGGGAAGTATTTTTATCAAAATTTAACGTAAATCTGTTGTATTGAAACCACTGTATAATTTTATTTAATTCGCATTCTACGTTCCTTTAAATCATTCAGTCATCAGTTATCAGCAAGCCTAAGAACTGTACCTGCCATGTTAGACGTTAATAATAACTAAGTCTGCTCAACAAGAAAGTACGGCTGCTTATCTGAAGTAATGAACAGCTATATGAACATGAACATTTTTTCTTAGAACAAATTATAGACTGCATTTGCCAATACTAAAACTTATAACTAGTATAGTTAAATTGAAAGATGCAAGCTGATAAAACTGTAATTATTGGAAAACTAATGTGTCATCTGCCACATTTTAAACAAATGACATGATCCACCTATGACTGAATTTGTTAATAATATTTGATAAAATACGGATCCGTCTCTGCCCCTTATAAGATTTATTATCGGCTTCGCCTCACACGAGAATTTGTCACACGTGCACGGAAAAATTCTTATTTCCTAATGAAATATACTACTACATTTTAGTTAGAACAAGAAAGTAAGTTAATGATTTCTTTCATTTCAGTACCTATGTTTAAATTTTAGTTACGTAAATGTAAAATCAAGGAGAGCATGAAATATACTTTTAAATAACCCACATTTTTTCATCAGAACTGGATAGTTTGTTTTTCTAAATACGGTTTAATATTACTGTTGTACTAACGATCTAAAAATTAAGTGATTTACCTTAGAAACTTTTTCATTCTATGTCTAAGTGATTCTAAAGTCAGAAAAATGTCATGTTTATCAGAAACAATTTATAACATTTACATTAATTTATAACATTTAACAAACATCCATAATATCACAGTAAGGCTCGGTATTTTGAGTCTCCGTTAAGGCTTGATTAACTAATCAGGCGATTAGACTGTACATATTCTGATTTATTTTATAAAGTATAATCACAGTCTAATTGCCTGATTAGTTAATTAAGTCTTAATCAAGACTCAAAGTACCGTGCCTAAATGTTCAAATTGAGCACCATTTGCTACTGGACGGTACCATTAAGGTGAACAAATTTTGTACATTTCAGATATTCCCAATATCGCCATGATGGCAATACTATTTTGGTAAATCCTCGAAATTATTGTTATTTACCTAGTTTAAGCATCTAACGCCAGGTACACGGCTGTCCACGCATGGACACAAGAGAAAGTAAAAAAAAAAAACAAAAACAATGACAATCTCTTTGTTTTGTTTTTATAAATAGAAGTATTCTTTGAAAAACTTATTCTTACCTTGACCACGATATGGAAAACTTGTAGTGCCTTATTCCTAGGTCAGCAGCAAGTGCTACATCTTCAGCATATTTATGGTAAGAATCGCACGCTATGTCACCAGTGTTATTATTGACTACGTAAGTGGGTTTATGGTGAACTAAATAGTCCCATATTGTTTCTCCTTTCCCATCTTCGTCCCATCCACCTTCTACCTGGTACGCTGATGTAGCTACTCCGAACATAAAATTATCTGGAAAGGTTTTATTGTTTTCTCCGACAACAAAGCTGTAACATATTTTTTCTATGAAAGAACTGAGTTTACAGAAATATAACAATACTGGCTCATTTTTCACATTGCATCTAAAGAGGAAAATGCCCTGCAAAGAGCCAATTTATTTTATTTATATGTTAGGTAGAATTTTCACAATTTTACAAACGATGTATAATTTAATTGTAAAATAAAAGTTATGGATAAGTTCTATATCTTATTTGTCTTATGGTATTTTCATTTAATTCATTTTTACTTGGAAGATTATTGTTGACATTTAATAAATTAAATAATAAATTAATATTAATAAATAATAAATTAGTGCTGTGTTAGAGAAATGTTGAAATTTGAAATAATTTAATCAACGAAAGAAATGATTAATATACCTAACCTAAAAAATTTCAAAAAATATAATTAATATCAATATAATTATTATTATTAAAGGAATTACCTTGCACTTAAAATTACTTCTAAACCAATAAATAACAGCTTGTTCATGTTTGATAATATATTGTAACAAACTAATTCAGTTATATTCTAATAAGAATCATAATGGTAATACATTTCTTATCTTCTTGAATCTATTGAATATCGTTTTAAAAGATAAGATATATTTTTTTTATCTAAAAATTCAAATTATCAACATCTGAGAAGTTTTAAAAAAATCCCTAGTTAAGTTGTTATTACATAATTAATTTTTGTATTTCCTTGAATGTTTTGGATAATCTTTTAAGTAATTTAGCAACAATTTGAAAACCACAATGTCGGTTTAGACTACTTGACGTTTCGCAAGATACATCGTTCTCTTCTTCATTCTTGTTTAAAGACATGTGGTAGCACTTCTGTTAAAACTGCTACTGTTATATTTAATTTGATATTGCACGTGGAAAGTTTCATATTTTTGTCTAACATACAAAAGTGGCATTAGAAATTATACTGAGCCCGTTGTGCTTATTTGCAATGTTCGAAAAGGCCTTTCACAATATTTTACATCGTTATCACAAACTACGTCAAAAATATTATAAGCGTCAATCAGAATTTTATGAACGGCAGACCATAGTACAACCCATCTTTTATATACAACTCAATAATGTCATAAATTTTAACCACGTATTCGTATTCCATAAAGACAAAATCGGAAAAAAAAATTTTTCTCGACTATTAAAAATGAAGGAAATCAACCCATAACTCCCGCTAAGAGGGCGGTTTATTAAATAAAAAAAGTCGGTACACTAAATACCCGAATATACAAAATACACTAACAACGTTACAAAACCATTAACAATTTAAAGCGTTTATTCAAATCTACCACCCTCCATATCTCTCGCATTTTTCCCACAAAGGAGTGAACATCATGCCATGCATATGGAGAGGGGATGTGGATTGGAAAGACACACGAAACCGTTAGTTTAGTTTATTTCGGATTGTTTAAAGTGTCGGTCGTGATGGCTTTGTATATGAATGCCGAATATGTGGATATGGTGATTTTATACGGAGAGTATGTACAGAACGCAAATGCCGCTGCAATTGAATATCGGAGACGTTTGCCTGATAGACAGAATTTCCCAAGCCCGTGGACAATTGTGCAAGCCGTCCAACGTCTTCGTGACACGGGGTCTATCATACCGCGCAGAGAACGTGCAGGACATCGACAAAATGACAAATGTGATAGAGGCTGTTTTAAATTTAGTCGAGGAGCAGCCTACTGTTTCCACAAGATCAATTTCAAGGCGATTGGAGATATCACAAACCAAAGTTTGGCAGATATTGCGCGAGAATTCACTCAACCCGTACCATTTTCAAAAAGTTCAAGCTTTAGAATCAGCTGATTTCCCCAATCGTCTTGAATTTTGCAATTGGTTCCTAAATCGAAGTGTAGCAGAACCTAACTTTATTAACAAAGTGCTCTGGACGGATGAATGCTGTTTTACTCGTGCTGGCATTTTAAACAGGCAAAAACATATTACTTTCTCAAAAACAATAAGTACCTACCTAGGTTACACCAAAATTTACATTAACATTAAAGTTTATATTTATTATGTAAACTTTGGTTATTTAACATAATAAACGATAAAATGTGAAAACGTTAATAATATTAAAAATGATAAATTGTAATAACCGTACATTCAAAAACAATCATCCCTATTCATTTGTTGTTTTAGCATCAAAATTAATGAATAAATAACAATTGTTATCACAATATTTAAGGTAAAAATCTATTTATCATGTATCGAGACAAAAATGTTTACGTCTTGTTCGAGTTCTATAGTAGGATCAAATTCGATACAAAGTAGTAAACCATTGCCTGTCAAGGGATCCAGTGCAATACGCTTTTAAGGGTTTTAGAAATTGAATAATTTCTTTATATTTTATGATGGGACGAAGGGATCACTTTACGTCTGGCACCCTTGTTTCTACAAAAATTCATTTATTCTGATAAACTATTTATTTTAAATGTAATTTATTATAAATCCAATTTGTTTCTTAAATTCCACATATGTACTACATTTTACCTCTGTACGCGCCACTGTTGCTTACTTGTTTTTTGGAGGCGCTCTCTGATTTACGACCAAGTTCGCCAGGTTAGTATTTGACGTATAACCGACCACTTCGTACACTCGATACACCTGGGCGACTACAGCTACTACCAGAACACAGTGCGTATCGGGCGCTGTTTCAGATTTTACATTCAATTTCATTTTAAATTCGAAATGGTCCATCTTCCTCATAGGGCCTTTCTTCCTACCAGGAAATCTGGACGGAAACATGTATCCAAATCTACTCGATGATTGTGGAAGTATTGGAAAATGACAACGCTTTGTAAGAAGAGGCTGTGTGGTTTCAGCAGGATGGTGCTCCACCACATTATGCTGTAGCTGTGCGTGATTTTCTTAATCAGAACTTTCTAAATCACTGGATAGGTCACAGAGGTTCAATTGCGGCCTTAGACTTTTTTCTATGGGTACACTTAAAGTCGAAAATTTATGCAATACGACTGAACTCACTTAAGGAGCTTCGTCGGCGAATTGTTGAGGAATAATCGTCCGGAAGTGGAGCAAAGATTTTATTATTGTATAGAAGCGGAGGGAAACCAATTTGAAAATTTAAAAAAATAACATTTATATTCTTTAAGCGATGATTTTATTGTCATATCCAAATCAAAATTAAAAAGTCGTATGTTGTCTTGAGCAGAATTGAAAAAGCTTTAACATGTGGTGTCACTCAAAATAGGGTGCCATTTAAAAGTTTAAGGGTATTTTAACCCCGTGCCTAAGGGGTAGCTTCCAAGACATCAAAACTTACTCCATCAGGTGTCCTGCTTGAAAAGAAAATTGACGTGTCCCAGGTATTGATTGTTTTTTTTTAATTCCGATATTTTCCAGTTGGGAAGTTTTAATTGGAATACCCTATATATGCATACGCGTAATGTCACTGATGTTCCTATATGAATATTACATATCTTTATCACATATTTATATTAATTTTTATATAACATTTTTACATTTCGTTTGTATTTGTGTTTCTCTTCGTATATTAGTAATATTTTATGTCTGAAATTTCTATTCTGTAATTACATTCAGTGGAATACTGTACCTTAATAAATAAATAAATAAATATACAAATAATTATTCACATGCGGTTATAGGGACATAATTCCTCCTGACGAATAGCAAAAGAGAGAAACATTAATGCTAAAATTCTAGGGAAGTAAGTTTTTTGGAGAGGCAACAGAAGCTTACAACTCCTACAAAATTGATGTATGGTGATAATATCCGTTCATAACTTTTTTTCTTTCGGGCAATAATGACAACTATTTTTTATTTGATAGGTGATACCATTTGGAAGTTTTTGGATTAAATGTCTACATTATTTTGTCACCCATATTACAATACCTACTTAACAAAGTGCTAGTGGTTTGAACTTTAAATCATTGTACCTGCCAGTTCTTAATGAGTGTTTATTACGATAAGATATACCACATGATACTTAATTTTTCGATAGGAATACACACACATATAACAAATTAAAATTATAGACAGCGTGCCTAATACTATTGAAATAATTCGTAAAAACAATCAAATACAATAAAAAATTCTGGATATAAAAGTAACAAAGTTTATGTTATTAAATCTAGTACAACTTATTATAACTGTTCAAAATGACCATCTACAACAAAGTTTAATTCAGCGAAGAAAGTTAAAGGACATCCTTTGCCGTTCTTATGGGCTATTTTTTTAAAATATTTATAGCATTTTGGATATGCTTCCGCAACTCTTAGTGTTAAATGTGGAAGCATACACTGTTGTTTTCAGAGTGCCCCAAAGATAATAGTCACAAGGTGTTAAGTCTGGTGAACGTACAGGCCAGTTAATAAGAACATTATCCCCTCTACTGTTCCATCGACGAGGGAATATTTGATTCAGAAGATACTGCCGGACCTTTACAGTGAAATGTGGTGGAGAGTCATCATGCATAAACCACACGTTAGCTCTGAGTAATAACAACACATCTTCCAGTAACTCGAGTTTTACAAAAATTTTAAATAAAATTCCCCATTCAGTCTATTGAATAGAATAGTAAGGTCAATAATAATGCTATCAATGATCCCAAACCAAATATTGATGCGAAATTCATGCTGATATTGTTTCACTTTGACAACATGTGGATTTTATTGAGCATACTCATGTTAATCGTGAATATTTATTATTCCGCTTCTGGTAAAACAGAATTGGTAGGTACAATGACTTAAAGATCAAACTGAAATTGCAGTCAACCTGCAAAATCAGAGCCTATTAGCACTTTGTTAAGTATTGTAACATGGGTGGCAATATTTAAAAAATATTTCCAACCTATCAAATAAAAAATAGTCGTCATTATTGCTCAATACATCAATTTTGTAGGAGTTCTAAGTTTTAAAAAACACTCTGTATAATACAAAAACATTAGATTGAAAGCAAAAGTCCACACCCCAAAAATAATCAAAATCGAATAGTACATATTCGAGTTATTTACAAAATTCAAAAAATTTTCACGAATTTGTGGCCATCTAGCGGCCAAACGAAGCTAAGTCGGGTATAGGTGAATTAGCCTAAATCTGTCAAATTTGAGTCCACGAATCTGTGGTCTTCCGTTGTACACGCTATTCTGGGATACCTTGTATAAATACTGACCAGACGATTTAATCCCTTGTTTCAGATTTTCTTCTAAATCGACAACGTGGCAACGTGTCGGAAAATTGTTCAACATTGACAACTGTAACGGAAGCTTACAAAACAATCTAACAATTCGAAGAGTTGAATTTCTCCCATTGTTTTAAGCAAATAAAGTTTATACTTATCAGTTTTCAGCTGCTTAAAAGAGATATAAGAGAAAAACATTATTCACATTTTTCAGGTTAGTAATTTTATGCATGAATTTAAATCGACAATTTGATAACATTGTAAGTTAGAAATGCTATTAATTTTGCAAGGGAAGAACTAAATAACGCTTTTGTTAATTAATAGAAATTGTTAAGTAATTCTCTTAAAAATACAACACGTATTCATACTCTTAAATATTTAATAAATAAATAATGTTAAAAAAAAATAAACAAACTTTGACATTATTTTAATTACCTAAATGAAAAGAAGCGAATATTTAGGAATAAAATAGTACTTCTCTTATTTTTTTAAACAAGTTTTTTTTTCTTTACTTAAATGTAGACAAACAAGTTTTCTTTAAATTTTTGGCAAATAATAATTAAATAACAATAACAGTAGGACAAAATAAAATATTAAAATAGCAATAGAGCTTTTAAACCACTTCGGAAGGCTATTTAAAGGATATTATGTTATTCGAAGCGACACCAAAAAATTTACGTTAACTTGGCACACATAAATAAAAAGCTTAGAACTAATAATAAGGTATTAGAACTAAATATTCCATTAGCAGAACCATGAGTGCTAGTTTCTGGTGGAGAAGCGCTTGTAGGAGTATCTGTGGTAGATTCTTCGATAGTTGAACTACCGTCAGTGGTAGGTTCTTCTGTTGTGATACTGTCAGTGGTAGATTTTTCAATTGTAGTACTGTCAGTGGTAGGAACAGGAATGGAAGTAGTTGTTGGAATTTCTGGTAGTTTATGAGTGTTAACTACATCTTTGTAGAAGCTCGCCGATTTTTTTGCTGTCCTTTTTCTATCCGGATCGGTAAAGTTTACGTGGTAAAGTCCAAAACGAGCACTGAAAATATTTAGAAAGTTAAATCACAAGGACTTGGAAAAAGGTTTTTGCACAAATCCCTAAACTATGATCAAAAAAGTAAAGGGTGATCCTGCTCATAAAAATAAAGGTCCGAGAGTAAGAGAAGAATCATACATGACGTAAATGACAGAGGCTGATTCAGGACACCACACCAACTTGTTACCGCTTCATGTTACAATTTAATTTGAAATAATCTTTAATCCATTATTTGTTATACACCTTGAAGTAAACTATGCTACATATTTCTTAAATTCATCTGATAAGTAAATTAAAATTAAAAAATAAATAAAACAATTATTAAATTGTACTGTAACACTGTTTTCAATGTTTTGTGAAAACAAAGTACGAATCTGGGATGTACGATTTAATGTCGTACCCAATAGTAATAAAGTTTCATGACCTCAGTGTTATTATTTCTTTAAATTATCGTAATACTTTGCCACAACATTGTTGCAGTTATGTTTTTGATGAAGGTTTTGGATGATTTGTATTACGTTGTCCGCTCAAATCCCAATGAATTATTATTATTATTTTTAAATTACACAATTTTTATTAACGGAATAAATGTAATTAAAACTGCTCCCATAATATTTTAATGGTAACTACATAAAACATATTTTTTTATTTAAATGCTGCTTGGTTTATGCTGCAGACTACATATGTAAATGTTAAACTAGTTCTAAAATAAATATGAAGTGTCGTTAAAATTTTTTTTAATAGAATACGCTAAACTCACTTCATTGAAATTATTTAAAAAAGAAATCAATAAATATCGAAACTTCTTTTTAATTTTTTCTTCATATTTTAAGAATCTTATATTTATAGAAAAAAATTGTTACCTATATCCATCAGTCCATTCGAAATTATCAATCAAACTCCATGCAGTGTACCCAAATATTTTTACTTCATCCTCATACATTGCATCAAGTACTGCTTTAAGATAGTCCTGTCGATAATTAAAAGATTATTTATTGTTCTATAAGAAGTTAAAATACGTGTCTCAACGAAAATTTTACCAGCTGTAACGTTGTTCAGAGCAAATTAATTTTAAGAATTAAATAAACAAATAAATACTAATGTTAAACAATCGAAACAAGTAAATTGTATTTTGAACACGATGTATTATGACATCAGATAAAAATTGTTATAAGAAATGCACACATTTTTTACATTTCTAGATATGAGTTTTAAGTAGTCAGCACATAACTATTAGAAAAAGCATACCTGATAAAAGCTGACCCTGTCGTCGTCTTCCAAAGTACTGCCATCATCAGCGACGCCATTTTCCGTGATGAAAATTTCAGGGTTGTTGTATGTATCTTTTACCCACTTTAAAAATTTTCTAGCTCCCCAAGGCACAATCTAGATTTGAAAAATGATTTATTATTAATATACTTGATGTAACTTTAAGTAGGATAAAGTTTTTAAGGGGTAATAGTATCTCTTCGCATACTAATCTGAAATCATTATTTTTTAAATCAAATTGTCGATTTATAATTAGTACCTTAAACTCTATAGGTATTTACGTAAAACAGTTTTTAAATCTACAAATAGTTTTTTATTTTACACTTCTCAAGCTTTCTTTTGAATGCCACTGTCCTTATTACGTTTACTTTTTTTTTTAAATATCAGTTATCGCGTCTTTACTTTAATTTCTAAATATTAACCACACAACAAGTTGTTTTCTTACATAAATACTGTCCTTACAATTACCTTTATACAAAACACCATTATGTATATAAAAGGATGGGGAGGAATGACTGAACCTTTTACCTTAACCTTTCACCCTCTCTAGGGAGTCAGCAGATCGAGGTTCTAGAGCAGGGGTCGGCAAGTAATTTTAGGTGGGGTCCGGATACTTTTGAAAATGTTTAACGAGGTCCAGAAAAAAAATTCATTGCTTATTTTTTTATGTTAATTTGAACTCAAATTGAATATGCTTACTAACCAGTAAGAACTCACACCATTGTAAAATACTAGAAAAAATGATAAGATTGGCACTTAAACGTAAAAAACATTTTTTAAATAATTTATTTGAGTAATTTATTCTTTCAAAAAATTTTTGGCGGTCCAGTATTTTACCTTCCGCGGTCCGGACCTGGACCGCGGTCCACCAGTTGCCGACCCTTGATCTAGAGACTATTTAATTGTAAGAGGCCCCTTAGTAAGATTCCTGACAGTTCGATTTGAGGAGTAGGCAGATTGAGACCTCGGTATCGTTCAGTCATCCCTCTATTCAAATGTTAGCGACCCTTACAATGTGGTACCGCAAAACAATTTTGGAGATCTATATCTCAGTAGGCGTTGACTTTCGAACAGGGACTTTTTTATTAAGCCATTTTATTTGAAGAATAACCTCAGGGAATATTATTTTGTAGAACCTAAGGAGGGCAGGTGGTGGCAAGTGCTTTAAACTTAAGATTGCAATGCTGATGAGAACCAAAAGTCTTAAGCCGGTCTATGTTTGATTGTTCGAGTGGCGAACGATCTTAATTATTTACCTGCAGATATATAATTGGTCAGTTCAAAAATATGTTGAATAATATAGCAAAATACCTATTACAATTATATTACGAAACCCATGAGATTATGTACTCAAATGTATCAATTAGTCCAGGAAAATTAGACGAAAATAGGGCCGAACCTCGGAATTGCATAAAGATGGTTCGATTTTGATGGGACGAAGTGCGTTCTCTTCGTAATTGCATGTACATCAAAGTCTACAACGTCTCATGCGGCGCTAATTTGTTTATTTATAAATAATCAATTATTATTAACAAATAATCGTATTTCGAATATTACGTGGGGTGGAAACGGCCAATCTTGATGCGGTAAAGCTCATTCTTCTTCTTATTAGTTGTACTTTAACTGTAACGGACTCCCACTGATCTTCATTTGTTTATCGGTTTTTATTTGATTGCTATAAACAAATTAAACGTGATATCTGCGGTCGGACTAGCCGATTTGGACGGAATGAACGTGGTTTTATATAGAAAGTTCAAGACCCTAATGCAGGAAGTGAATTCTCAAAAAGCTGAAGACCATATAGAACATGAATCATTATGAATAAATGTTATCCACTTCTCTTTGATTAAAAATTATCCATTCTAAGTCTTAGTTACAGATTGCACGTGTAATTTTTTTATAATGATTAATTAGTAAAAAGAAACAAATGAAGATCATTCGGACCTTAACGGTTTTGGAATATCCCGGATGATGATCAAAGTGACTTATTCCATAAAAATCAGACTTTTCTCGTCCAGCTCACAGATAACAGCCCGAATTTATATATACTAATTCATTGAAGATCAATGAACAAATGAAAATCAGTCTGCCCTTAGTGGCCCTTTGTGGTTCTGGATCACCTTGTAATCCAAGTACGAGAAGAGCGTCGATTACCGCGTGAAAATCCCCCTCTCCCAGTCCGATTGCCTAATTTGCTCTTAATGATCGAATAAAAATCAATAAAAAAATGAAGATCGGTGGGAGTCTCCCAAAGTTAAGGTACAACTAATCAGAAGAAGAATGGCTCTATCGCATCAAAATTGGCCTTTTCCAACCCACGTAATATCCGAAATACGCTAATTTGTTAATAATAATTGATTATTAATAAATAAACAAATTAGCGCCACATGAGACGTTGTAGACTTTGACCTACATGCAATTACGAAGAGAACGCACTTTGTCTCATCAAAATCGAACCTTCTTTATCCAATTCCGAGGTGAAATGCTAATTTTCCTGGACTAAATATGAAACGTTCGTGATACAAAATAAAAATTATTACAAGGTGACCCTAGTAAGCAAAAGAAAAGTTCCATAGCGTTCACTCCTGAAGAAAACCGAACAATAATAAATGCATTTGATGAGGATAATTTACATAAAGAATTACTAAATTGCTGCAGTTGAACTTTAACGGAGAGGCAACAAATTGTATGCTACAATATTTCCAAGAAGAACTTGATGGTAATGACGTTGAAGCAGGTAAAGAAAACAGAGAGTAAATGGCTTGTGCAAAATAAGGCCAATGAAGATATATGTCCTGCAAGGCTTTATCGAAAACCCAGAAGAACATATACCATAAATACAAAACCTCTTTTTCTAACGTCCAACCAACTGTGTAAAAAGAACAGCGCCACGGCTTGGTATAAAAATTGTCCTATAGGCAAAAATTAAATTTATAAATGGACGAGAGATTCTGCAGGAAAAATTGAATTAGAACTAGGAGAAATAAAATAATGAATTGTTCTATTAGAGCAACAGTTGTAGTCAGTACTTCACGAGTGTTGAAGAACGGGAACTATTAAATTTAATATAAAGTAAGGACATTCTAAGGCAAGTTCCATTAAACCGTACTGATCTGAATCTATAGATTTGTCTGCTGTTGGGGTTCTAACGTTGTAGGAGAATGTTTTCCTTAACTGTTGAAACTTTAACTATAACCAAAAGTACGTGTATAAATGACTAATATACAGGGTGTCCCATAATTAGTGTGCAATACTTTAGCAGTAGATTCTACAATCAAATATAAGATTATTTTCTCCTATAGACAAAGTATTTCCAAAATCAGTTAACGTATCATTATGAATTTTGGTATGTTGGACAATCAATAAATGTTCTAACGAAAACTGTTTAAAAATTTTAGTCAGGGGTGTCTCAGGCAGGGGGGCTCACAGGTAAAATGGAATTGCATGTCAATATTTTCAAATTTAAACATCAAACTATGATAGATATGAGTTTTTCACAAAAAAAAACGTACTCTTGATTTACTTCGATAAAATGCTTCGTTTTCGAGAAAAATAGATTTTAAAGTTTTATTACATAATCTCAAGAATGGAAAAGGATTACATGAAATGAAAACAAACGTTTGTTTACTTGAATTAATTTGACAGATTATTAAACTCAAATTTCTTCTTTCACTTTACGGTGTCGTATTGATATTAATCTAAAGAAAAAATAAAAAAATGTAAAAATTTGGATGTTTTAAAACACTGCGCGGACAAGGAAGGCCACCAAATGATTATAATTTTGAAAATACCTTAACTCAATTTGATGATCATCCTAATATCAGCATCCGCACAGTGTCAAAAGCCACTAATATTCCACGAACAACAGTATATACTGAGAAATGTAAGAAACGTGTATTAAAAATAATCCAAAGCTCTCATTTTAGCTTTCTCAAATGGTCACTATCCAAGGCCTTTATCCTTATCATTATTAGAGGGTACAAGACTTAAGAAATGAAGATTTTATGCGTAGTAGATACCGAATTTCCTTAGCAGATCATTAATAATGAAAACTTGCTTCCATTAATTCTCTAGACCGATGAGACGACTTTCACCAGAAAAGGAGCTCTTAATTTTCACATTAGCCCACTATTGGGCTAATGACAACCCGAAGGTACTTGGGCGTAATAATTTCCAACACAGGTTTTCAGTTAATCTGTGGGCGGGGTAAAAATTAATTGGAGTTGTTGAAATTCTAAATCGGCTAAACGGTGAAGCTTATTTACATTTTTTACACAATGAATTGTATGTACCTCTGAATATTAGAGGAAACATATACTTTCAGAATGATGGAGCTCCAGCTCATAATAGTAGGCATGTGAAAAACTGGTTGAACGAATATTTTCCAGAAAAGTGGATTCGACCAAGCGGTCCCATTACCTGGCCACCTCGTTCACCCGACCTTAATCCTCAAGATTATTACTTATGGGACATTTAAATAGTATCGTTTATAACACCAAAATAGATACCAGAGAAGAATTATTAGAACAAATAAATTTGGCCTCTAATATGTTAACGAACAATGAATTTGAAATTCTTCGTGCTTCTTATGGAATAAAACGTAGAGCTATGCTGCTCATTCAACAAAATGACAGTTATTTTGAGCAATTATTGTAACGTGTTTTTAATAATTTCTTTATTATCTGATTTATTACAAAACTTCAGTTGACTACTGTGCATATCAGGTTTGTTTCTGTAGTAAATTACTGATAGTTTGCAAATTATTTCTACTACGCATGAACGGATGCCAACAGTCTACAAACGGTTTGTGATTTGGACGATGCAAGGATGGTCATATTTTTCGAAAACGAAGCATTTTATCGAAGTAAGTCTAGAGTCCATTTTTTTTTTGTAAAAAACACATTTCTATAATCGTTTGATATTTACATTTGAAAATATTAGAATTATCATCAAATTAGTTTAAGGTAGATATTTTCAAAATTATTTGGTGGTCTTCCTTGACCGTGCAGTTTTCTAAAAGATCCATTTTCCGTTAATCGTCTATGGACCATAGAAAATATTCTACGTCCAGGTTGCCTCCGATTCGGGTTTCTCCGTTGGTATTCTTTTGGTGCCGCTAGTGCTCTCCCATTACAAAATCCACACACAAAATGAATGTTTATTAAAATTATTATCAAAATTCTGCACTTTTTCTTTAGATTTTACTTAATATCCAATACAGTACTGTAAAGTGAAATCAAAAATTTTAGTTTAATAATCTATCAAATTAATTCTAGTAAACAAAACTGGTATCTATCACTGTTTGATGTTTAAAAATTTGGGGCCCATTTTACCCGTGAGCCCCCTGCCTGAGATACCCCTGACTAAAATTTTTAAACAGTTTTCGTGTAGTTCGTTAGAACGTTCATTGAATGTCCAACATATCAAAATTTATAATGATATGTTAACTGGTCTTGGAAATATTTTGAAAAATATGATCTCCTGAGGCCGTAGCTCCCTTAGGAAGCATTTTTCGACCCCTGTTTATAGGAAAAAATTATCTTATTTTTGATTATTTTTTATTGTAGAATCTACTGCTAAATTGTTGCACACTAGTTATGGGACACCCTGTATAGTTCTAACGTAAAAAAAATAAGCATTAATACCCATTAAATAACTCTTTTAAGTTGTTACTAATATTCAAAAAGTGAAAAAATATAGGTACATATACAGGGTGTCCGCAAATTTCACCGACAACGTTTGACGGCATATTCACGACGATAAAAAAATACGATCTACGCAAATAAGTTAAATAAAAAATTTTTGGTTTTTGAGTTACAAGCCTTCAAAGTTGTCAAAAATAAAACTAATTTAATTAATAACTTCATAACCCTTTTACTGATCACGTTAAAATTTGGCACATTTATTTAAACCATTATTGGGTATTATTTTTTAAAGCTTTAGTCAAATCGATATACTGGGTGATAGTTTTCTCTGGTTACCTCTCCCTTTTAGCGGTCAAAACTTTTACACTGGTCGTATTTTTTTAAAACTGGCAGCATCGTTGAAAAGGTCGTTTCATTAAAAAAAAATAATGTCTCTTGAGAAAATCGCCTACAGAAAGCCATTCTTGAGAAAAATTACAAACACCTTAAAAAATTTTTTAAGGTGTATACGTTTCGCCCGCTTTAAAAAAATACAACCAGTGTAAAAGTTTTGACCATTAAAAGGGAGAGGTAACCGGAAAAAACTATGACCCAGTATATAGATTTGACTAAAGTTTTTAGAAATAATACGCAATAATGGTTCAAATAAATGTGTCAAATTTTAACGCGATCGGTAAAAGGGTTCTGAAGTTATTAATTAAATTAGTTTTATTTTTGACAACTTTGAAGAGCTGTAACTCAAAAACCAAAAAGATTTTATTTAACTTTTTTTCGTAGATCGTTTTTATTTATCGTCGTGAATATGCAGTCAAACGTTGTCGGTGAAATTTGCGGACACCCTGTATATTTCCTTTGGGAAATAATCTCAACATACCGCTCAACATCTTTGGAAGTAATTCCCTAATCTTAGATCTCGGGATTTATTTTTGTTGATTTATTAAGTTCCAATCATATTCTAAGCAAACTTTTACAAAAAATCATTTATGCAAATTTTATTATACAGGGATGGCCAGAAGTACGAAATAAAATTCATATCTTTTGAACGTGTTAATTTTTTTTAAAACGCCGAAACACGTTAACTGATTTTGATTTTTTCCCATCTTTCGGTTATATAATAATTAATTTTTCTTCAACCCCCTAACCCCCAGCTACCCCTACTATTTGTTTTAAATGGAAACATAAGGCATGAGAGGGCTCGTTGAAAAGCTTATAGAAAATCGAATTCAGCCATACCAAATAAACAAGTTTTATTTTTTCAATAACAAGTTTTTTTTCATTTAGAAATTGAAACAACTAGATAATTTACAAAAATAAACTCAATGTCGCAAATGCTGAAAATGTCCTCCATTCCCTATTTGGCATTCTCCAAGACGATAGTAAAAGCTGTCCACAGCATTCTGAATGACTTCAGCTGGTAAATTATGCATCTCCGCCCTAATCTTGTTCTTTAAATTCTCAATATTATCCGGTCTGTCCTGGTAGACTCTTTCTTTCAAATATCCCCAAAGAAAATAATCCAGGGGTGTTAAGTCGGGGGATCTTGGCGGCCATTCAACTGTACCCCGTCTACCAATCCAGCGATTTGGAAACATTTCATCTAAGTATCTTCGAACATCAATACCAAAATGTGGGGGAGCGCCATCTTGTTGGAACCAAATTCTTTCATTCGGTATATCTGGATCAATTTCATGAGGGAAAATCACAGCTAGAGCAGGTATCAGGTCAAATGTTAGGAAATCCAGGTAGCGTGCGGCAGTAAGATTTTCTTCAAAAAAGAATGGGCCCAAGATTCTGTTGTTGATGATACCTGCCCATACATTAACTTTTTGTGGATGCTGCGTATGCGATTCGCATGTCCAGTGTGGATTTTCCTGGGACCAAAAGCGATAGTTGTGCCTGTTAACCACTCCATTTAAATAAAACGTAGCTTCATCCGAAAAAAGTACGTCTCGTTGAAAACCATTATTGTCGTCACACCGTCTCATCATTTCCTCACAAAATTGTAATCGCCTATCATAATCGTCTTCCAAAAGCTCTTGGACAAGACATACCTTATAGGGGTGGTATTTCTCTTGTTTCAGAAACATTCGAATTGCAGTTCGAGAAGCATCGTGATTGCGGGCCAATGAAACAGTTGAAGTATGAGGATTTTCAACAAGTTCTAATGCAATGTCTAATTTCTTTTCTTCATTCAAAGCACGTGCCCGTCCAGTTTTGGGCAAAGTCTGTACTGTACCGTGTTCCTCAAATTTGTGAAATATTTTACTAACTGTCCCTTGCGAGATTTGGTTTTCGGGATATTTCGCATTAAATAAATCGCGCACTTCAGCCTGACTTCTTATTTTGTCTCCACATCCAAGCAATATCAAGATTTCGATGCGTTGCCTTTCCGACAATACCATTGCAATTCAGTAAATAACTTGATTTTGACACAATAGTAACGTTTCAAACTCCAATTTACAACTAAAGCGAAAAATTAACCAGAAAGCCTGGCAAGTAAGTGGTACCAAAAAAACGCAACATAAAAAATATATCTTTTTTGCGTTAGCAGTGATAGGTACAGTTTCAAATTCTTTATTTTATTCTGTGCAAATTCATGGAGGATAACACTGAAGATAATTAAATTTTATTTCACATTTTAAGTAGGTGTTTTATACAACCCTAAAAACCTTGCTATTAAAAAAATAAAACTTGTTTATTTGGTATGGCTCGATTCGGTTTTCTATAAGCTTTTCAACGAGCCCCCTAATACCTTATGTTTCCATTTGAAAAAAAGTAGGGGTAGCTGGGGGTTAGGGGGTTGAAGAAATTAATTATTATGTAACCGAAAGATGGGAAAAAATCAAAATCAGTTAACGTGTTTCGGCGTTTTAAAAAAAATTAACTCATTCAAAAGATATGAATTTTATTCCGTACTTCTGGCCATCCCTGTATGATATAATGATATTATCATAAAAAAAATGTGTTTTATTTCAGTGGTAGGCATACAATTTATTTAGCATCCCTCGTATAATATTGCGATTCTAAAAAATTACCGTGTTCCCATTTGGTGCTACAGGCCACGAGGAATCTTTAGATATGGTGGCCCTGATGTCGTTTGCATAGCTTGTCTCGGCAAAATCAGCCTCATCGGCATCAGCAACGAGGAAAGTCCAGTACGTGTTGAAACCCATGAAATCAAAGGAGCCGTTGATATACGCGACTTCCTCTTCGGTGAACTGGGGAAGGCGTGATTTGGAGTAATTCCCATTTTCACTGCGATACTTTACTCGATCTATTACCACCTGAGGCCAGTTTCCATTGAAAATCGGATTAGCGTATAATCCAAACTGAAAAAAAGTGCTTATACTATTAGGTAGATACAGTGTCCCCACGGATGGAGTTGAAAAGGGGTATTTCTATTTTAGATTTCGATATAAGCCATCCTTATTCTACTTGTGTTCAAATGTTTTTGTCCTTAAAGCCCAATAATAGATTATGGTAAATAAGAAACACATAAATACATATTTTTTTCCAACATTTATCATATTCAGGGTGTTTTGAGCAGAAATTTGACATTTTCGCTTGGTTAAAAATGCATTTTTATTTATGAAAAATTAAATACCTACGATCAGGTGCAGAGGTATCGACACTTCACTTTGACAGTGTTTATCTCAAAAACTAAGGACCAACAAATTTAAAAAAATGACTGTTATTATGTCTCTGTTTCACCAAAATTTAAGAATTTTGAGTTGAACCGTTTTGAAAATTCTTCGGTATATTCATTGTTCTCAGTTTATCTCTTACATTCAAATTTAAATAGTCATTTCACGGAAACCATTTGGTATTTTTTTGGGAAATGTGACATATGAAATGATGTATGTTTTCAATGTAGTATTTTTTATACATTTTTTTGAGAAAAGGATTTGACAATATTAACAAAAAAGTATCAAGTTTATTTAATAATTATTGAAGGCAATACATCTTTTCGTAAGCCAACTAGTATTCTAAAAAATGTTTCAAAGCAATTCAATGGACAATTAATTACAACAATTTAAAAGTGACTATAAAGAAGCTATAGATTACATGAAAACTTAATATGGTTGTCGACGGATAGGCTAGAAGGGTCAAGATCATACTTTAAATTTTGTTAGTTTTTTTGGTAGCTGTGGCAGTTCATGTGCATCCAAATTCGTGTCAGTTTTATCGACAACGGTATTTTGTAGGTTTGTTGAAAAATATTTTGAAGGTATCACAAGAGAAAGGCTTTCAGTAATTGTTATCCTTTATTAGTGTTATCATTACCTCAAACTGATTCCTTCTTTCTGCAGCTTCTATATCATTTTTGTTCTCACTAGCTGCTTCCGACCATTCACCATCAATAGTTATTGACATTTTAGCTGCAAAACAAAAATATGTCTTTTTGTACCATATTCATTATGCGAATATACAAAAAGAAACACATTTCTTTTTTAAAAACAACGATAATTCTGATTTAGTACAGAAATATAAAAAAATGCTATTGATATTTATTTTTCAGAACTTTACAATTTCTTACAATGAAATGCAATTTGTATCTACTCTATTCTTATTTTATGTACCGCATAAACTCAAGTATCATGTCATTTTATGCTTATTATGGAATTATGGTCTGCAGTTACCAATCGCGAACTTTAGTTAATAATAATTCAAGCAAATAACGTATTCACATAATTTATGTAAAAGCTTAAATAATATGATCTACGTTTATACGATATTTGTACAGAATTCCGTTATACCTCTTTGAGACAATATTAAAATATTTCATCGGCAATTTTTTTATAAATATTCTTAAAATAATTCTCAAAAATCTTGCGTTTTTCGAAAAAATTGGAGAACAACTTTTTTATGAGAAATATCAACGGGAATTAAATGCACTTATTATTCACAAAATATTCGATATCTTTAAAATTCTCATATTTTTAGTGGCGATATCTCTCCCAGCATCTCCGTCACTAATCGTTAGATTTATGTATCAACTTTTGTTTTTTTGAAATTTTTGTCCATAATTAATTAAATCATTATCCCAAGATGCATCATTGTACGTCAAATATTTTAAGATATATTTAAATAAATGTGATATACCTATATATTTTTTAATTTCAAATAAAGCCTTCTCTTACTTATGTTTGTATCAATAATTTTTCTTATTATGTTAAAATCATCTACTTTGAAGGAGATACTTTAGGTAACTATAAAAAACTGATCTTTTTGTCGTAAGAGGTTATTTAGTTAAAATTACCTTTCATATTGTGTTATTAATAATATTTTCTTATAACAATGTTTAATAATATTACCTTTTAAATCTGGAAATTCATTTTTATACATGTGGTACACAGCAGCGTGTGCTTTTGCCACGACATAGGCACACAAATATTCGCCAATACCATCTAGGGCTATACCAGGAGCAAAGGCCCCTTCACCGTAACCTCGTCGGCAGATTTGCTTTGGTTCGTTGATAGTTATCCAGTAACCAACTTGGTTCAAGCCCTCTATTACTATTCGAGAATAATTGACGAAGTGGTGGACCAGTTCTGGGTTCGTCCATCCCCCGATATCCTGCAAGGGTTGGGGAAGATCCCAATGGTACAAGGTGGCAACAGGTATCATGCCCTGTTTCACTATTTCGTTTACCAAATTTTGGTAGTACATAATCCCTTTGACGTTTGTTTCATCAGCATAACCAGTAGGTAATATTCTGAAATGACAGTGTAACAGTGCAAATTAAAATTAATTAATGAATAATAATTTAATACAATAAATGAATTAATTAAAATTTAATATACAGAGTGTCCGGAAATGATGAGCAAAAAAATTCAGAGGATAATTCTAGACCGAAAATAAATGATACCTCTTTCTATAACATTTTTTCCAAAACTCATTATTAATGGAGTTACAGGGTGTTAAAGTTAAATTTTATTTGCAGTTTTTTTGCAATACCTTTTGCCACACTCATAATATTTTGACGAAATTACGTATATGGGGTTTTTCGGGATGAGGATTATAAATTTGCCCACCGTTTTTTCTCATTTTGGAGAGGGCGCCACATACGAGCCTTTATTTTAATTTGAATGGTTCCAACTTTTTTGTGCTACACTTTATGCGACTTTTGACTGAATATTTTTGTTCTCCTAACCTTTTGACATAAAAAAGGTATACTTTATTTGTTTCGATAAATCTAACCGTTTTCGAGAAAAACGCTAGGAATAGATTAAGGAGATTTATCTGATTTGGAATTGACGAACAAGTATTCATAAAAAAACTAATATAAGCTTATTAATATAAAGAAAATCCTGAAAAAAAAAATTATGATTAGTTTGGATACCTAAGAGCCGAGATATTAATAAAATAATTTTTCACGATTTAGTACAGAGTCTTATGAGAATACAGATTTTTTTGGTCTTTCCACTTAGAATGCGCAGCAAATGACAAACAGTTTTTACAGCAACTTGTATAAATAGGAAACCGATATCTAAGGAACCGTATGGCAGCTCGTAGAAATCGATTATACTCCGCGGTCGAAATTATAGAGAGAGACTCATCGCTAGCTTTTGGACTAGTAAGGGGGATGAAGCGTGCCGGGAACGAAAATCCATTGGCGTGTCTGCGTAAAAGACAACAAAATATAGAAAACATTGGAAAAAGATAATAAAACATAACATCTAATATTTTTTTACGGTTTGCCATAACCGGCACTTTGTTCCATTTTAATTATTACAGCATTTTAATACGTCCCAGTTGTGTTTTTTTAATTTATAAATTTATTATAGCCATGGAATTAGACCCCTCGTCTACGCTTATGCTATGACTTTTCTCAGGACGGATAAATCAAGTCCGTTTACACCCACTAAAGAAGCATTTCCCTATTCCCTAACAAGTGCAAAAGACAGAGATAGAATCTATATACTCTATCGACGTTCAGTGTAACTCGGTCTATAGACGATTATAGATTCTATCGATGTGCGTGGCGAGCGGCACAAAGATAAATAATATTGAACCGTATAAAAATCATTTTATATTTTATACGCATTATGGTAATAGTGTTTATTATGTCTGAGTCACTCTCCGCGGAGTATAGGTACATGTAAGATACATAATTTATAATAATTCTCCTTCAAACTGCTGTTGTTGATTAACTTAACGTCCATATGCGTGATAGCGGCAACGCCGCGGTTCTCGACGTAGCGTAGTATTTGAAATTCGCAGGTGTGACATATGGTGTATATTTCAAGCTTAGGCATCTAAACAAAGCCAGCCAAGTGTAACGTTGCCAAATCTAAAGGCTTACTACTTTAGTCACTAGTGAATGTACAGAAACTCTCGTTAGACTTTTAGACGTACGTCCGTACCCGATAAACCTCCTTAAATGAGATTGACTAATCTGTCCCGTATTGCTATGCGGAGTTACAAGAAGAAGGTGTAGGGTTACTCGTAAGTTCAGTTAGTCACAAAATTATCCATACAACTGAAAATTCAGTATAGTAGAGTATAGTTATGCCAAAGCGTCCCGATATTCAGGGTTCCCGCCAGTAATGGGCGTGTCGAAGCGAGGTGTCGAATTCAGGAGAGATATCCGAAAAAGAGGCAGTTTTCTTCTTGGGTTCCACATTGAGCAGTCTACTTAGCTTTAGAGTCTAGGGTTAATTTAATAATGGATAAAGTTTTTCCAAGTTGCTATGACTCTCGCATTCCCTGAATCTCGGTACGCTGTGTAAATGCGTACAAAACCGTTGTTTTGTTTGTTTTGTTTTTATTGTTATTAAAACCCTTCCTGGAGAGTTTTGGTATTTTCTTGTTCTTCCTACTTCACCCTATACAACCAACCACTGGATTACCTTCTGCATGAGCGACATACGGTAAGTGTCTGGTATTCATTCTCCGAACGTTCACCATTTCTAAGTTCCCACGTATTAATTAAAGTGTAATGATAATTATAAACTCCCTTTCGATAATTAAATAGTAAACTCTTCTGAAATCCAGACTCGTTATGATACTGGTTATAACCGTAGATATATAAATAAAGAAATAACCCATCAGGTTATATAAGCAATAAAAGAAACAATTGAATCACAGAATGGATACTGAAGCAATACTGATAGTAAAATATGTCACTGTAGATGTGTATAAACAGGACAATCTAAACTCCAAGCAATGATAGTTTATTTTTCACTGATGTTGATACCAAACTGACACGGCCTTGTGGTGTGTAGATAGAACTTTATCCTGGTCCAAAATAAGATAATTGGGCCAAACATATCTATGTCCATGGGCGTAGCTAGGCGGGGGCAGGAGTATGCACGGTGCACCCCAAAGAGCCCGGTGTCCACCCCAGAAAAAAAGATCTAATATTATCATCTTTGCCATATCGGTAAGTTGGTTGCGCAGAATTTTTTTTTATTATCAAATCAAAACGTGTTCAAATTTGATAACAGTAAGTCGCTGATTGCGAGCGAGAGCTTTTTTTTTAGAGGCCTCCATAGAGCTTGCAGCTCTGAGCCCACCCCCAACCAAAAATTGTAGCTACGCCCATGTCTGTCTACAGTTGCTTCATTTGTTTGTAACTTACCGTGTTTAATCTTAAAGAATATTATAAGTACGTAATATCTCTAAAGATGTTTGACGTGGATTAGTGGAATTGTAAGAGAAAAAATATAATAATTATGACATATGAATAATTAAGAAAATAGTAGTAAATAGATGTAAATATGATTGATCCATTTAGGCAAGCATTTCGGCATGCTATGGTATACAAAGAAAAAAAATATAATAACTATTATGGATGAATTAACTAGAAAACAACAAAGAACAATTTTGTCTAGTACTTAATTAATTGCTGGTATAATTGATTTAAGTAAATTTTTGTATCAGTTTCCTGTTTGATGCAATTTTTATTTTTTTATATACATCATTTCTTGGATTATTTTATTATAATTAGGTTCTTTTGTCAAAACTTTTGTTCGACTAAAATAAAAAAAAGGTATATATTTCAATATATAATTATACAGAACCTTGTGGAACACCACATTTTACTGGTAGGATGTGGGAGGGAATCAAGAATCACTTGTTGCTTTCGATTGGGGTAGGCATCAAAATCGTCACATGAAAATTTGTAATGTTTTTTATAAAAACTTGAACTTGAACATCCTGCAACTTTCAAATGAATTTGGTCCAATTATAATATTTTGGGCTTAAAAATTGTGCCCCTTCATTTGCATACATCCTGTACAAAAGCACGTCTACAAATTGCTGATTATTTTTTTCAAAAATGTTTTCAGTATTATAATAAATATTTTTCTATATTAAATGATTCTAATTGTGTAAATATTTCTACTATTAAACATTATGCAACAAATTGTAATTCATTGAACAAATATTAGTAATCTACTGATACTATCTTTGATAATAATGAAAAAGTTTGTTTGTTCAATAAGTACCTTTGAACTAAGTGTTGTTTAACGACTAGAAGTAAATTGTCTGTTTGATATATCATATTTAATCAAACGCTTCAGATATTATATACGTGGAAAATAGCTTTCTCTGTTTCATTTTCGAAATCTTACAAACTGCAGTAAAACGTTTATTTTCAGTTAGCTTTTCAAAGCTGCCATTCTAAAAATTGCCAGCTTTCAAATTTTCAACCAATTACAAAAAAATTGTAAATTTAGAAAATGTTCTTGCCTTACCGTTTATTACCGGTCATATTTTTTCGGCAAGTACGTATCTAAAATTTTTCGATTTTTCGTAGATAAAATTCAAATCAAATTAAAAAAACTTCATTACTATTCAAAGCCCTCAACACCTCAACAGTAAAAAAATGAAAAGGTTTTGCTATATTGACTACAGTTTTACAGCTTTTGAGTTAATTAATGTTCAACAGTGGTTTTCTTACCATCACTATATCACTAGAAAATTGTTTCCTTTTTACGGATAAATTAACATTCTCGTGAAAAGTGAAAATTTCAGTACCAGCACTAGAAATTTGCATATTTCAAAATAGAATTATAAAAATTAAAAAATGTAAAAATTCTTTTTATTGATATAACTTTTTAAAATTGTCCAAAAATAGCAATTTAAACTTTTACAGCAATGGTTTACATTTTCTTGCAAAATTAATAAATTAATAATTGAAAATTGACAGAATAATCTTAGTAGGACATTGCAAAGGATATAGAATAACGTGGTGTAACTAAATTTCAAATAAAAAACCGCTAATACAACTTCACAATTTGCAATTTTGAAAAAATTGGTTTCCAAATATATGTTTTTAGAAAAAAATAGTCCATCGTCATCAATTTTTTACTTATTATCTTAACGGCTTGTATACCTGTAAATCTGAACTACCAGTATATTTAAAATAAAATTATATAACATCGATTTTTAAATACACAGTTAGTGAATTTGGTTCCCTTATAAGAAGGCTGAGTTTGCGAGAAGTATAGAGTTACCGATATATAAAACCGTTTACTAATCTGTGAAGAAAATTATTCCACGGTCTGTTACTTTTACCAAAAATAAAATATTTACATTGTTTTTACATAAATACCCTGTATTTTTAGAAATAATTATACCATATATAGAAAGAAAATTATATATTTCAAGATATATAGAAAGCAGAAAAAGAACACAATTATCTTCGATTCTTAACTGGATTTACATAATATATGGATTTGCACCTGTATGTATAACCGCGAAATATACTAATAAACTAATATCACAGATTCTAAGCCAAACAGTTCATAAAGGAGAGCTTTTACTTTAATTCTAATTTATTTAATGGCAGAGGTTTAAATAAAATTAAAAGGTATTTTCAAATTTCTTAGTACTCTTTTTATTTGGCTGAATTATAATTGTATTCAAATGTGAACTAATAGATGGTATATTAAGATCACAAAATCGATAAAAACTTGGTCATTCTCCTGTAACCTTCAAATAGTATTTTTATATAACATTTTCTTGCTTTATGCATGAGTTACAGAGATCTAGAATTTAATCTTACCTTGACCAAGAAACGGAAAACCTATAATGGTTGAGACCAAGCTCTTTCGCAAGAGCGACATCTTCCTCATACTTGTGGTATGAGTCACAGGCGACATCCCCGTTGTCATTGTTTTTAATTACTGAGGCGTTGTTATGGACGAAATGGTCCCAGATGTTTTCACCTTTCCCATCTTCGTTCCAGGCCCCTTCAATCTGGTAGGCCGCTGTAGCGACGCCGAACAAGAAGTCATCGGGAAATGTTAGGTTGCTTTCTGCGGCCGCGAAACTATATAAAAAATAGAAAAAATAAGTTACTCCTAACCTCTTGAAAGCGTAAATGGTAAGTCAAAATAACACTACTAATTCCTATGATTTTGTTCCTAATCTTCCTTCTAATGGAGATATCGGCCAACAAATTATTTAAACATAAGAATATCTACTGCTGCACATACTTTATCAGTAAATTAGTTGTTGTGAAATTGTGAAAAAAAAAACAAATACAATTCCAAACAATTAAACTCCTCCCTGTGCATTCAATAACATTGCGCAGAGAATTTAGTGCAATATTATATTCCGCCTATTATTTACTTAGAAAAATTGAATATCCACATGAGTGTTGGAAAGAAATGAAAACAGAACTTCATTCAACGCATTCGTTTGCCTTGTACCTGTATGTAGAGTAAATGGATAAACTTTCATTGGCTAACCGTAGCGGGTAGTAAGTACAAATTCGTTTGGAGACGTTCATTGCTACAAATACAGGGTACTGAAAAGAAAGAGTAACCAAAATTAGCCACACGCAGTGTTAATCAAAATAATAAAAAATGTTCCACAAACAATGGTCCGAAAACGATCCTTTTCCTACAAAAGAGTGACTAAGAGATGTTTGTAGGGTAGGAAATAGGTAGGGAATAGGTAGGGCGGAATTCAGAACGTCCATTTGACATTCGTTCTTTTGTCAACTATGTGTTACCCAGGGACATAATATATACATTGTACAGATAACAGATTTATGTATATATATATA